ATTGACCGTGCCTGTTTTGCCCAATTTGTTACAATTTTAATAATTAATTGGAATATCTGAACATAATATAATCGTAGGTAATGATTGTACAACTCATTGGTTGTATTATACTAATGATATGAAAATATTAGTAAACTTCAACTGTGAAGATTTTCGGGGAATAATTGAATGATACACGAGTGGATCGAAATGTATATAATATATCTGACCCAGAAATTCTATGCTATTGCTTGATTTCATAATATATTGTCATACTGCTTGTGTATATATGGTACACTTATCTTTGTAAATATAAATTTATTGAATAAATGATCTGTATGTAATCTAAAATCCATATATGTAGAATTACCATTTAAATTATTTTATTGATGATAATTACAACTATAATCATATGTTTTTTTTTTTTTGATAAAGAAATACAATCTGACGAAATTTGGCATATACCAACAAAATAACTGTTATAATAGTTAATAATAATGAGCAATAGTTAAGATTAAAAACTTATTGTATTTAATTTTATTTATTACACATACTTATATTAAACTTATTTTAGAAAATATTAAAACATTAGTTTACAAAAAATAAATATATTAAATCAGTAACTTATGAAAATATACAAGTAATCATTCAAGGATGCATGAGAAACATTTTTGTTTAAATTCAATGACAAGATCTTCGTATGGAGTTGAGTGTGTCAGCTTGATCCTTATACGGATATTATATAGAAGTATTTATTAACACTCACTTCACTTCCTGTTTCAATAAATGAATAAATTGATAAAATGTAGAATGTAGATAATTTGTATAGACTACAGACACTCGGAAGTGGACTCACACAATTCAGGTATATCTAAATATACATCTATATATAGACTAATTTGTATGGGAATCCGTTTAACGTGATAGTTCAAAACACGTGTCATCACCTATGTATGGATTTTTAGCATTGACTGAAATTTGTAATATTATTAATTTAATTACATTTAAGTTGGCGACAGTGTACGGCCTATAACGTTTTTGTAAGTGTTCGTATTGCGTTCATCAGTTTTCAACCATTTTTGGATTGTGACCCCCTATTTTTTATTTTTTTGTACTGCGACTCCCTTCAAAAAAAAAAAAAATGTTTTATTCATCAAAATTTGATTTAATTACTGATAAAATATTTATATGGTTTACGATTTTGATTAATTTACACTTAAAAATTTAATTAATTTATAATACAACATTATTTTAAAATAATACAAGCATATACTTATCTACAATAAATTTAAATATAAAAAATAAATAAATAAAATTTTAAAAATGTACAATTTAATTTTTTATTCACGTGTTAATGGGATACTTGAGCTTAAACTTTTGATATTATTGATTCCATATTAGGTTTTATATTAGAGACTGCAACTCTTAAGTCTGATTCTACATTTAATTTTGTCCGATATTTGTTTTTTATTATTGTAAGAGTTGAAAACGCCGTTTCACACAAGTACTCGTAAGTTTCTACAAATGGTAGAAGTGTTGATACAGCTATTTTTGACAATTCTGGGTATTCTGATTTTATAGAAATCCAAAATGTATCATTTGTAATTTGATTAAATATTATACGCAGATTTTCATCGGAGGATAACTCGATTAGTTCTTCTTTCATAACTAAACTTAATTCAGAATCCATTTTATTTATATTATATAGAAAATGGATTTCTTTTCCATCCCAACTTTTTTTCTGGAAATTTTTTAAACTGTGTGTTAAAATTGTTTTCCAAATTTTGTTTGCTATCATACATACATCAGGCATGAATTGTCCAAAATTTGACATTTTAATTTAATAAAAACTCGAAAATTTCTCTTGATATCATGTTCATCAACAAGTCAATTTTCTTGAAATATTAATGTGATGTTACATTTTAAATTGTATTCGTTTTTAAATTTTTTTTTTTTTTTTTTTAATGCATCGTAGCTATTGAGTAATTTAAATTCTATAACAGTTATATTGTCTGAAAATATAACATTTTTTAACTTAACAAAATAAAATACTAGTATACTCATTGCGAAAATTTGCAATAAATAATTTATTTATATAATAAAAAAGTATAGGTGAAGTTAAATCAGTACATAAATACATTTTAACAAATCAATAATTGAATATAATATCGAAAATTGAAAGACACATCGAAATGACAGAGAATGTTGATTAAATTTTACAGTGCTTCCTTTCAGACAATATTAGCTAATATAAGTAATAATATTAGTATTGTTTATGAGTTGTTTGTTGTTATATCACTGAGTAAGAGCCAATGAGAATGCAGTATTTGGAAAAAATTGAAAGTAAAGTTGATTGTGCACACATAACTTTCCTCAAACACAACGAATTTAAGCAGTTAATTGTTTAAAAGAAAGAGCATGGTCCACTGAGTGTTCTGGAAGTGAAACGATCAAGATCCATTCATTAGAAGAGGAGCTATGAGAATTTGAATTGCTTGAGTGAATGTGTCCCATAAGAAATATACAGGGAAGAATCGCGTTGGTGGGAGTTGAGTAAATTTCAATGATTGATGACTTATCTGTGTCTAAATACCTTTCATTAAAAAAAAAAAAAAAAAAAAAATGAAGGAAATCAGCTGGATAGAACGGCCAGACTTTAACTTTAGTTTTCCTAGATTTTTTTAATACATAGAATGTTGGTAAGTTGTATGCTGACATAACTAAAAAATTGTGCACAGTTAAAAGGCTGATAAGACAAAAATAAATATATTTTAATGTATGAATAAATTATAAAAGAATGTAAATATTCATTAGAAAAAGCTAATAACCGTTGCTGTCAAAGTTTAAGTTAAAAAAAAAATTAACATATAATACTAAAATATAAATAGTATTTAAACAGGGAAAAAATGCATTAGTTGTGGCTAAACTGAATAAGAATAATGCTACGAGTTTTATTATACCTACATAAACAATACAATTGAATGAAAATATTACATAGGTAATACTCAGATTTTGAACAAATGTTGATATTCTTGGTTAATTTTTTGAAAGTATAAATATTTCTATATCATCAAATTCGAAAAAAATAAATATTTATTCATAATTTAGATTTATAATTGAAAGCTAAAAATAAATACTGAATTAAGGAAAGTGAGGGGTTTAGTTTGATGGTTTTTGGTAAAAATTCATAGCCGCTTAGATAGGTATATAATTGTTGATACTTAAATATACTAAATGATTTTTTCAAAAATATACATCAGCTATGAAAATAAAAATATTTAGTTAATTTGTCAATCGTAAAATATATCATAAAGATAACATGATCAATTCTTTTAAGACTAACTTCTGAAAATTTTTAATATAGGCAACATAATAATCATGTCAAACCAGCGATCATATTGTGTTTTTTTTTTTTTTTATATGAAAATATTTTTAATGATATTTATTTTTCTATATATATTTATAACTTCATGATTGATGTATAACTATAATTCTTTAAAAGTTAGGTTGAACTTTTTATGATTTTATATTCGCAAGAGAAGTGATCTAAAATTTAAGAAAATCAAAAATTTCAAATACCTGTAAATAAAACGAATGTCACTAAAATATTTCAAACCATAAACTGAATAATTAAAAATATTTAATTGAAATTTATTAAAATATCATATTTTGTTTTTTAGTGATTATACAATATTTTTGCGACTTTCCAGTAATTATTTTTTTGGTTACAAAGAAAATTTTATAAAAAATCATAACTACATTTTAAGCTTTAAGCTTGAATTGTATGCATTTTATACTACAAATATGTATTGGATTTTCGTAATTTTTATTGTTTAATTTTATAAATGTTCATAATTTTTTATTTGAAATTAAGGTCAATTTTTTTCATTTATCAAGTTCATTATTCAATAGTTTCATTTATCACTTGTTTTTCATTCCTAGGATAACAATAATCACCAATGAACATGTTTAAAATCAAACTTTTCCGATTTCTAATAAAACATAGGTTGATCATAACTATAGCAGTAAGACATAACGACAGGCGCTGAAGGTTGGAAGTTTTGATATTACAGAATCTTGTTTTATCCATAGACTTTTCATTGTTATTAACTTTTGCAACAGTTCGGTAAAAATTGATTGTTTGTATGCTCCTAACCATAAAACAAACTAATCTATCAAGAAATATAAAAACCCTAATAAGAGTATATTATGTAAGCTAATTTAGTTTAAATTAATGCAAACGATTGTCATTGGAATTTTTAAGATTAGATTTTACATAAGATACCTTTAAAATAAATTGAGTTTATAAATAAGTTTATTTCTCATCAATATTGTGATAAAATAAATATTTTATAATTTTAACCAAATGCAAATAGTGGTAAGCATATTTACCACTAGGTTTATTTGAAAAAAAGTGTTATAAAATATACATTATCAATAATACACATTTAATTATGGCATCTATATAATATTATATATAATTATATATATATAATAACTATACTTTTAGATAGTACAAAATTGAGACAAGCGAAGAAGTAGTGATTCGGCAATAGAAAAAACTCTTAGAGAGTTATAAAAACCAGAAAAAGAAAAACTATATTATAAATGTGTTAAGATTTCATTGGTCAGTGGATATAAGTAGAAAATAATGATAAGTATATTTATACCCTGCAAATTTGTTGGTCATACTAAATCATTCTTGTCCATTACTAAAATATTTGATTTTTCAGAGAAAAAAAGGTGCTGTAAGTGGAATTACATACAACACAAAATTTGATTATTGTTAAAGGCAAGTTTTGAGATTATCTACAATATTATTTACTAAATAAATTATGACAATAACAAATTAAAATACTTCTACCAAGAATATGTTTTCATATTATCCAATAATTGTATAGGCAGGTTTCTTTGTTTATTCCTATCATAAAATAAATCGTATAAAGAAATAAGTATAATGTAATTATAATCAAATCACGTGTCTAAGAAAAATGTATACAATAAAATCAATGTTAAATTATGTACATGTAAAAATAAAATAGATAAAAATAAATACAATTTTGAACACATACAAGTCTTATTAATTATTTAGCAATACTACAATTACCATTGTTTGGTACTTCATTACCTGAAAATATAAAACAATAATCAGTTAGCATTTTTAATACGATGGAAAGAAAGAAATATTATTAAAAGTAATAATTATTATATATATTATTATTATTATATTATATCAATTAAAATTTGAAGAAATATTTAAGAATATTCAAAACTAAAAGATGTTTTTAGTTGTCAGGTAAATGTATAATATCATTTTTAAAATTTATCTTGATTTTATGTGAATAGACAATCAAATTATTACATAAAATATTTGATTATACTTTTAAGAACAATTAACATGATCTATCAAATTTGGTTTTAAATGATTATATTTACCAGCAAATTTTCCTTCATCAAAGGCTTTCCGTGCTTTTTTCAATTCTTCATTCATCATCAACAGTTCTTTGACTCTAGCATATTTTTTAGCATCTTTACGTACTAAAAATACAATATCTTCTACTTGCACTCGTCCAGACCTTCCTATTTCCATTGCACTATGTGTCTAAACAAATATTAAATATAATATAATTGTATTAATGACATTTATAAAGTACAAGAATTATTTTATACCATGTCAGTAATAAACTCTATTACTAAATCTTCAAGTATGTCAACACTTTCAGTGTAAGGATTTTCATCATCACCAAAACCATACATCATGCAACGTAATTCTTTCGAAAAAAGACGTTTACGGCCAGCTTTTGTAAATGACTGTCCTTCAACTTGTTGTTCTTCTTCATCAAACTAAATTTTAAAATATCAATAAATTAGTAAATTATATTCATAAATTAATTTTTCTTAGATTGAATTATTAATCAATTAGATACAATAGAAAGTATAAAAATATGGAACTTGATTGACTTAAAATTGAGTTTAAATACTTAAATTGTTATAAATAAAATATGAAGACATGATTAAAAACATTTATTAAGTAATATAAAAAAAATAATGAAATCAATAATAACTAAGGTTTGAAGTTATTTATTGATTTATTGAATTAATTGATAAACAAATAGTTTAAATTAGGTTAAATAATTAAATGACTAAATAATTTTTATTACTTTATATAGAGAATATAAAAAATACATAATTTATAACTGTTATTATAATCAAACTCGTATTTAATTGTATATGTATTGAGGTCACTATTCTAATTATGATAATTTTTGATTGAAAAAATACTTTATAAAAGATACATTATTAAAATCATAATTTAAACATAAAAAAATATTTTTTATTTTTGTATAATTTAATTATGTTCTATTTTATTTGAAATAAATGTATACATATAAAGGATGTCCATATATTTATAAAATATTACCTATAGATATAAAATAAATAATACTTAATATAATTTATTATTTCATAACCATAATCATATAGCTATCCTCATCACCCATGATAAAATAATCAATGTTGTTATATATCCGTATCATAGAAATAGCATTTTGAACATTGTCTATGCTTGTAATCAGGCGCGTAGCCAGAAGGGTGTTACAGGTGTAGTACATCCCACCTCAGCCGTAGTATACTTAATATGTTTTATCAAGACAAAGATAAATCATAAGCCGTGATTTACACTTATTTATCAAAATGAAATATGTATTACGATAACAATAATGTAAAACACTAAAGCCGGGACCCGGCATTAATTATTAATTACTAGGCTTAGGGGCTTATAGCTCTAAAAAATACATTAACATACATGCAAATATGTTTCTAAAATCATTAAAATATGCATTTATAAGCATTAAATAAAAAATTACCACATAGTACACAAAATAAAACATGTCCATCAAATGTAAATGTATCTTTAAACTCCGAAACAAAACTTTGTAGTTGGCTACTTGTACACTGTTGTACTTTTGGCATTACACAATAATAAATATTTCCTATTGTTCATCGACTTTTAAAAATATTGATTACTTTACCAGTAACCACTGCAAGCAGTGAAAGATCTTTTTTCTCTTTATGGCGCTTAAAAAAATATTTGAGGAACACAACTGATGAAAATCGGTTGAATGGCTTAGCAGTTATGAATATTCATCGAGATTTAGTCATAACCACTGATGAAATAATAGATACTCTAGCTTTAAAAAAGAGATGCATTAAGTTAATCTAATTAAAAATATTTTTTTTTTTTAGTATTTATTATAATAATATATATGTGAAAAATTTAAATATACGTAAAGTAATCAAGTTCGTGTGTATAATTTTGTCAATTAATTTTGAATAACACCCCCCCTTAGAAATTTCTAACTACGCGCTTACTTGTAATATGTTATTAAAATATAAAAGTCTAATGTCTATGTAGAAAGTATTTAATAGATCAATAAAGTTTTTTTCACCATGGTAACTAGTATACCTATGGATCAAATTAGGAAAAAAAAAAGTTTGTTTCAACTAATTGTATTTAACTAAATGTTATATACCCTTGAAAATAAAATAAAATTTTTATATAAAATATAAATTTGTATTATAATAATCAATTAAGCTTATAATCTACAATGGGAGAGAAAATAGTACCACTGGAAATGAATTTAGTGCGCTACAGTAATCCTGTATCAGTTAAAGAACGAGAAGAAAAATTAACCAGAAAGGTAAATTAAAATTAGTAAAAATAGGTTAGGTTTGATAGAGGTAATAAATAACATAATATAATTTATTATAAATAGAAACTAGATGGGAATGATGGCCTAATATCAAATGAAAAAATAAAAGAATGTGATGAAATTCTAAATTGTATATTGCCACCAAGAGAGTGGGAAGAAAATGGTAAACTGTGGAGACAAAAAGTTTCAAATCAACCAGCTACTAGAATGGATGTTATTAAGTTGACAGAAATGTTGGATATGAATTTGCAACACTTACAGGCACGAGAAACGGGTATTTGCCCAATTAGAAGGGCTCTCTATTCACAGTGTTTTGATGAACTAATTCGACAGGTTATTATTATATTTATATTGAAATAATATCTTTATGTTTAGCAAAATTGTTTTGCATAAAATATATTTGTAGGTCACTATAAATTGTGCAGAACGTGGACTTTTATTACTGAAAGTCCGTGACGAACTTAAGATGACAATGGATGCATATCAGTCTTTATATGAGAGTAGTATAGCTTTTGGCATAAGAAAATCATTATCAGCAGAGCATAACAAATCAGACATGCAAGATCGATTGACTGAATTGGAAGCTGAAAAACAAAAAATTAAAGATGACTTAGCAACAGCAATTGCAAAGTATGAAATGAATCAAAGACAAGGAACTGAACAACGTATAGCTGAACAACAAAGATATAATGAAGAAATAAATTTTTTAAAAAGATCTAATCAACAATTAAAAGCTCAATTAGAAGGGATTATAGCACCAAAAAAATAAGTTAAAAACAACAGCTATAGTTCTAATTTAATTTTTATTTTATAATACAGTATAATTAGATTTAGAACGAAAATAATTAGTTCAAATATGAAAATATAATTTTTTTCCATTGAATAAAGTAATCAATCACAAGTATGTATCTAAATATTATATAATTTGGTCTTATTTTTTTTAATATAAATGACATATTACCTGATCAAAAACATCTTCTGAAGCCATCTCAAACGGGAAAAAATTCTTATGAAACGTGAACAATTCTAAATTGTTATTTATTTATTCTGATAGTAAAACTCAGACGACTATGAAGTAATAAAAACAACAATTTACCAACTAAAATATACAATTATTTAGTAATATTTACGCATTCTGTATTATCATTATCAATACATATTGTATTTACCACGGTCTTAGAAAATAAGGTCGGACAACTAAGCTTTATCAAGTAATCCACTTAGAGAGGCGAATTCATTTTCAAATTTTACCACTATACAATTGAGCGCTGCTTTACAGATGTTATTTTAAGGTTATGGCATATTTTGTAAATAATTATAAATTATCATATTTGTAAATCCTAATGTTCATTACAACATAAGTGGTATTGCATTCAGCTTCATACAAGTTCTGGTACGTAGACCCTTAATAATATAATTTACATTGATTATTATTTCAATAAAAAGTATAATAGAAAATTCACATTTCACATAAAGACAATTATTATAGTTACTTAAATTATTTATTGAAATCCAAAAGAACTTTTTTGGTACTAATTTGCTTAATTCAGGCGAAATTCAACTAGGTCCTTTATAATATCTGTTTACAACTCCATACCAAGTTTGTAATATTATTTATTTATATATATTAAATTCTTAATGTAGAATTGAGACCCCTTAAAAAAAAAATAATAACAAGTGTATTCAAGTTATATTTTAATTAACAAGACATTTAAGTCTTCAGGTATTTATATTATTTTTAAACTTTGCAACATCTATTTTTTTTCAATTCAAACACTGTTTATAAGTATATTATAGTACTGTATTTAAGATCTGCAAAAATAACAATTGTTAAATCTGAATGGTAAAATTATTTTATAAATAAGACAAATATTGAACTGTTGTCATTGACATGAGCTCACAAGAAAAATATATTTTTCTTATTTCCTATCGGCTCTTCACATCAAATACTGAACAAATAACATTTCCTAATTTATCAACAATATCCTTTGTTCTTAATACTTGGTCATTCCAAAAATGTTTCTCACAAATAACTGCTGTACTGCTAAAATTATCTATCCCTAAAGATTGTTACCATTTCTCCTTCAAACATTAATCTGTAGGAAGAGTAAACACTGATAGTTTTTCATTATTACTATTGTTGCAATGAAAGTAACAAATTTTATTTGGCATTTTAAATATACAATCAAATAATAAAGAAAGAAAAAAATAAAATATAAATTATAAATTTATAGATGACAGTTGACAGTACTATGCAAATTATAATTGTATCAAATAATATAATTATATAATATTATAATTGTATTCATAAGTGCCAATAAGTGGTATTATTTTATGAATTTTTTTTTTTTATACAGGAGATATTAGTGTTATTATTTTTTCTAAGATTATGAAATGAGTTTGATTATATATCTATGTTAATATTTTACAAACAGAATATTTTTTACTGTTAACATTATATATTCACATAAGTCCATGTACAATATTTTTATTTTATTGATTTGCTTTTGTATACTAAGTGCTAATAAGTAGTATTAATTTATGAATTTGTTTTTATTATACAGGAAATTATTTTTATTATTTTTTAATAAATAAGATGAAATGATGGATTATATACCTGTATTTATATTTTTTACTTTGATTTTATTGATTATTAAATAAAGGTTTTGTTTATTATTAAATAAAGATTTTGTCTATTCAACATTTTTTCCAATTTGTATTCTATTTTAAATAATATTAATTTCAATGAATATATAATGTATAATATATTATATCTATTGGATATTATTTTATATTTAATGGATGTTATAATTCAATAATTTCTGATTTCTTATGGATATTCATCAACTAATAAAAAAGTGGCCAATTGGATATGTAGTAGATATCTAATAGATATACAGTCATATCTATTATACGTCCATTAGTTGTGTTTGTGTTATGTGGGAATAAACCTATCTTCAATGTGTGTTTGAATGAATTTATATTTATATTTATTTATATTCTGGCGGGCTGTTTGGTTAAAGACCAATATTAATTTCCTAACCTTAAAATACGTCTAACCGTCAGCGCTTTTGTGGCTACATGAGAAACGTTTTTGCCTCATTAAGAGGAATTTCAAGTAGGTAGGTACTAACTATAGACATGTAAACTAACTTAGTTTATATGTCTATAGTACTAACTATTATAGGTTTCCGCCGCTGCAAGTTCCTCTTGCCACGTTTGTAAATAACGTTTGAACAAAAATAATTGAACATGTCTGTTTGATTAAGGCCAAGCGCACACGGTGCAACTGTTTTGGGACAAAAATTGCAAATCAGTTGTGCTTAACAATCAATTTGCAACCAATATGAAACTTCAGTCCGCACATGGACATGACTGATTTTGGATTAGTTGGTGTTAATCTATTCGATCAGTACAGTTGTTTTTTTCGATTTTATACATGTGAAGTTCAGAATCAGATGAAGATAACATCATTAATTATTATCAATACCGCAGGCTACGCAGAATACAGCGAAAACATTGGGTCCATCTATACTTAAGAGAAAATGCGAACTCTTGATTGTTTATAACCTAACGAACTTAATGTTTAATTCTTGGTCACTCATGTTTACGAAAATACTAAAACAATACACGTGCACGAATACGAAAGTTCGGTGCAACTTAAAATTACAACGCAACTGCGACCGCGAAAATCGTATGAGTACAACTGATTTGAAACTGATTGCAAACTAATCTAATTTTGGTCACTCTGTGTACGGACGTCCCAGTTATACGCTGCCTAGATCACAAAACAGTTGCATGTGCAACTAATTTGCAACTTTTGTCTCAAAACAGCTTGGCCTAAGAAATCGACTGTCCATCAGTATTGAACGATACATTTTTTAAACTATTTCACAAATTGTCAATTGCATTATAAAATAATAAAATTAATATGTATATACAATTTATGTCTATAAAACTACTAATTTTAGTATGATAAAAAATGTGTATTAGCTTAAAATTGTTTGGGCCCCTTTCACTTGGGTACTCGAGAGGACCCCGGGGCTACTGCTCCGGCTAGACCCCCCCTTAATCCGGCCTTGGTCATTAGTTATAAATTATTTAATTTATTTAAATCAACTTAATTTTCTTATTTCTATGATGTTATTGCAGATATAGTTCAATAATAAAATGGGGATACCTATAAAAACAAATCTCTTTAAAGTTTAATGTTGTCTTTAGAAGATTAACATAATAAAATAAAGATAATAATGAAAACATTACAATAGAAAATTAGAAGAAAGGGAAATTGTTTAACTTTAATTATTATTACTTTAAACAGTTATTTGTAAATTACTATATACTAATTAATTAATACATTTTTATTTACTTAATTTATATATCATAGTATTACTATTTATAATTACTGTGACTGTTTATTGTTTAATATTGTTGATTTTTCCTATTAATAGGAAATCAAATTATAATAATTTTTAGGTATGATCAAAGTAGGTACTACATTTTTTTATGTGATGTATTAAGCTTTAATACTCGAAAGTAATTTTGGTGATAGTAATAATAAATTAACTTAGTTAATGAAAAATTTGAATATACATTTAAAATTATATTTACTGACCTTAAATAATTACTTTTAAGTAGTATTTACATTAAATGCATTGTAATTATATTATTTCTTTACTGTCCATATTCTTAGTGAACGATTCATGCAAATAGACATAATATTAGATTCTGCTTCTCATTATTTTAAATCAAATTGTAAAAATAGTCATTAAATAAACTAATTAAACTGTATAAATTGATGTGACTAATAATGATGTTATCTTTGTATATTATGATTATGTTCATATTGTCTAAGAGAAATAATGATTTGATTGGTGTAGCTATTGAATATATCTTAATAATGTTATTAATTCTAGTACTTTTTATAATAATTTAAATAGAACCTCATTAAGGAGAGTATAAATATTATATCGATTATAAGAATTTTTAAAATACTAATAATGGCAATAAGTTCAGTTGAAAATTTGGTAAGTGATTTGAAATAAAATTTTAATCCCAATTATTAAGGCAATAGTTATTTTTAGTATTTAATTAACTTTAAATTACTTATTATATTATTATTTATCTAATTGGTATGAAATTATTATCACATATGCTAAAAATAAAAGTTAATTGATATAAATGTAAAATGTATAGACTTTAGTTTTACTAAAAATTAATGATTAGATCTACAAAAATAATTATTTGTATCTTTAGATTGGAAACATAAATACAAAGTATCACTTTTCCATTTTTATGAAATTTATGAAAGTGACCATTTAACGTGGTTTGTTAAATTTTTTTTGTTGCTTATGTTTTTATTTTCTTATTATATTTATTAAATCTAATTATATGGTATTAATTATGCATTTGTTTTACATTATTTTAAAATTACTCGTTAAAAATGTTCTTTGTATCACGGTTGGAATTATTTTGTAAGATGACCTAAGCCCAAATGTTGTACTTTTGGACAGTATCTCGGTATCAGAAGTAGCAATTAAATTAAAATGAGATGTATTGGTACAAGTATTTAAAATAATATAATATATGTTGATATAAATAGAATAATAGGGACTATAATAGAGATGCCATCCGTCTCGTATTATACGGGAATGTCCCGTAATTCATGACATTGTCCCGGTTTCCCCGTAATAGATCAAATATTGTAAAAATGTCCCGTATTATGAAATTCTCGTCCCGTATGTCCCGTAAAAATAGAATTGCCAACCGCAACGTTACGATTTGTCCGGTCTATGCGTTCCAATCACTTAACGTACGGTAAACAATTTGGAATCTGGTTCTTAACGTCAATATCCAAAGTCAAGATTGTAAACTACTGCATACTCGTTTCTTATCACTTATCAGTTATTTACTTTTCAGTTATTAATACTTATCATTTGAATTTGATAGATATTTATTTAAAAAAAATAAAATTTTGTTCCTATTGTTTCTGTTCTTCGCCTACTATGTATTTATTATGAACTCCAACAATAGCAACTATGCCAAAACTTAAAAGATTTTTAATGGCAATTTACAAAAAGAATACGAGTTTTTAAAAATAAGTGTGAAGCCAGGAATAATCGACAAAATTGAATGCATCAAATGTGGAGAAATTTTTAGTATAGTACATAGAGGAAAATCTGAGATAACTCAGCACATTAATACAAAACGCCATAAGCTTGCTGTTGAATCTGAAAAAGGTAATTCAGTTACTAATTATTTTACAAAAAAAAATGTTGGATGTGATAAATTATCATACGCAAATGAAGGAACGTGGGATTTTAATGTGTGCCAGAATAATCATAGTTTTATATCTATGGACTGTACTTCACAGTTGATACGTAAAATGTATAACAAGAAGTTCAGTTGTAGTTGTACTAAAACTAAAGCAGTAATTGTCAATGTTTTATATGCATATGCCTACGAAAAATTTAAAACTAATTTTAGTAATGCAAATTTTGTTTCAATTTTGATCGATTCTTCAAATCACAAAAACCTAAAGATGATTCCTTTATTAGTCAGATATTTTTCTCCAGATAGTGGCTTGCAAACAATTATTCTTAAATTTACCGATTTGTTTGGCGAAACAGCAAAAGAGTTAACAAATTATGTTTGGACATTATTAAAAACTTTATTAAAACAAATTCATTCATCTTAAAAAATACAAAGGAAATAGTGACATAAGAGAAAATTAAAAAAAGTCTGAATCATAACTAGGTAAGTAGATCAGTTTTTAAATTTCTATTTTTTAATAAAAGTATAAGTATATTGTTTTCTTTTTCTTTACAATTTTTTGCATGTGAATATTTAAAATTTTTTTATCTAATAATATTCAAGTTTTAAATACTGAAGTGTAGGCATAGCTACTGTTAAGTTTTAAAATTATATTTAAATTGTTTTCCTACGCATATTGTTATTTAATACTAAAATGTTAAGAAAGTTCCTTAACTCTTGAGTCTTAATTATTAATTAACTATAACTCAATCATTTACCAAATAAAATACATGAATTATTAAATATATGTATTAGTGATCATTTTAATCATTAAATGATCGGTATAAGTCAATACGATTCTAATTTTATTTTTAATAATGTTATAAAAATAAAATTTGTTAGTTTATTTAAATAAATAATAAGAATTAATAGATTTGAATAATTTGAATAATGAATATTATAATTGTTGAAAATTATTTTATTTTCAATTAACTAGTTATTTTTTCTTACATTGTGAAATGTTTTGTGCCATATTTTTATATGATTTCTAAAAAAGCATTTTTTAATAAAATAAACTGTGTACAACTTATCAAGCTATAACATACTGGGATGGTAGCATAGAAAAGAGATTACCCTATCTATTATGGTAAGTACCCAACGGCCAACTTTTCGATCCCCCTAACCCTAATTTAATTGTTTATAGTTTTAACGCGTATTTTTTATTTTGAAATCTGGCGTCCCTAAACTATAACTAAAAACTATAATTATTATACCTACCGTAAGTATAACTAATATGATAGTGCAAATGAATCTAGTAGGTATCTTATTAGTTATTATTCAAATTAGTCAGTTATTGGTACCAAATAAATATGTATAAGATCTTTGAAATTAATTTTTATTCCAAATTAACTAAATATATTTAATCTATCTATCCATCTGTAATGTACCTATTATATATAAAAATGAATCCCTTTTTCCCTTAGTCATGCCATTACGCGTGAACGGCTGGATCTAATTATTTTTTTGTTGTGTTTGTTATTGTCAGCAGAAGGTTCGTACAAAAGAAAAAATTAAGAAAATTGTGCGAAAAATTAGGAAATATAAGAATACTTAACCACCATATAAAATTATTTCTTATCTAATCTTAGCACTTTGGACAATATAAATTTTTTTAATGTAACCTTTTGACGTTCGACATAGAATTGGCAGAATGCGTGCTGCAAATATCATCAAAGAGGATGTAAAAAAACTGAATATCGTTTAAAACAGAATTTTCGATAAGATTAGAAGTTAATTATACCAATTCGAATTCAGTATTCATAATTAAGACAATACAACGTCTGTCGGGTTAGTTTATTATAATGATTGACATTATAAATCAAAGTTCGCAGACATACATTCACATACATTTTTATAAGTACATGACTTCTATAAATTTAATCGACTACCTGATGTTACCTACTTGTACAATGCTTTCGCCCAGTGCATATAATATGCATAGTTTTGTATACAAATTACAAATAAAAAAAAGATGTATTCAAATTATGAGCATAAGTGTATAAATATATACATAAAGCATCAATGCAATAAAATGGAAACGAATGACCATGCCGCAGTGATAAGTTGTCCACTGTGAAAATGTATTGCAATACGAGTATTAATCGTGACTAAACATAATCGTTGTCAACTAAAAGTTTGACTTTGTATAGATAATTTCACCTAAACTAGATTTAACTTTTCCTTCAGTTTCCCGCTTACATTAGAACCCACTTGAAATTACTATAAGAACACGATCGTCTTTGTGCATGATTTCGCCATAATTTAGTCTAGTATACGAGTATTATCTTTGAAATAGGATATTTATCGACGGTGAATTAATTTCGACTGCATTACCAATGATTAAAATAGCGGGATATTTTTTATTTATAAGGTTGTGCAACTATATTGATTAATGATTGGTTCAAGGCCGACTTGGTGAATATTACAGTTATGCGCGAAAATCTTTTGCGGGGCCTATTTAGTAGGTGTTTGGATTTAACTTTAGGGAATTAAAAATGGTCCGATTTTTAGCCTATCACTGAATTTGTATCGTTAGATAAACACACTTCGGGCCTCTGCAGCAATCCTTTTTATTAGTTAAGGGATCGATGTAAAAAAATAGAACTATGTAACCGACAATTTATTAATTGTATCAAAATGCATTATAATTTATTTATTTTATACATTGAATTCTAATAAATGTTGATGCAAATAATAAATTGTCGGTTACATAGTTTTTACAAAAAGTTAAAATTCGTGACTTAAGTTGCTAAATATTTATTGCAATTAAATTAAAAATAAATTTAAGAATACAGAATATCGTATATTTAATCAATATTTTAATTTTCATACTCTTTTTGCAACAAAATAAAAAACTACATCAACATAATCTATACTTTCAAATAAAATGTAATCAATAAATATCTACTGTTAAAAATCATTAAATTGTAAAATTTAAATATTAAGGTAATATTATATGAGACTAAGCGATCAAATAATATATAAAAAGGAATATCCAAAAAATTTACTTTTTTGTAAAAACCATCAAGTATTGTTTTATTTTTATTTTTTAGATAGTAAGTAGGTTTGAAAATTATAATAAGTAAAATTGTTTAAATTAATTAAATGTGTATGGAGTTTTTTATTTTGAATTTTTCATTAATTGTAATATTTTTTATTAACGAAAAAAACGAAAAAACGCCTCTTTAAAGAAATTTAACCCTCTCGAGGCTTAGAATTTAACTATTGTAACTAAATTGCACAAATATTATTTTTTATAGATAGAAATTTAAGGGTGACGCAGTTAAAATTTTGATATTTTTTTTAAGGACCACCCTGTGAGCTATGTGTAATTGGTTTTAATTTTTAAACGTATAAATAAGCCGGTTTGTTGTATTTTCAATAACCATTTACTTTACTGTTATTTATTATATCGGAAAAATTATAATCATGTCTTTAGATAATTAAGTGAGTTATTAACCTACACATTTATTTTAATTTAATATATAGTCGAAAAAATGTGATAAAAATATGTAATTGATATTGTATACTTATATTATAATTTAACACTGAATAAATTATAAAAATAACGCATTTATAAATCAATACAATTTAATAATTATTAAATTATTATTAATTGTTACACTATTAGATAAATTATTAAAAACTAAATTATTATATATTATAATTATTTATTCTTGGCATTTGCATAAAAAAATTTAAAATATTATACTCATAGAAAAAAGAACTATATAAATTAAGTAAAAAATAAGATTATTTCATATTTTTAGAAAAATGACGATAAGTTGAGATAAAATGCTAAATTTTTTTCGATTTAATTCTCAGGGTTTTTATTAGAGTTTAACTATCTAAATTTTTGATTGTAGAAAAGTAATTAAAAAAAAAATAATATAAGACTTTAAAACCGAAACATTATTATATAGGTAGGTACTATATTCACAATATTCATATTTTACCTATACAGATAATAAATTATGAAATATATAATTATGTTATCACTCTAAGTTTAATAGTACTGCTGTAGCTCGTTTAATCCAATGTTCTGGCTTTTGTGACCCACATTTTAAGTTTAGTGCAATTTCGAAAAACTTTCTGTCGCGAGTCTCGTTTCTTTGTGGACAATAATATACAGGACTCTGGTATAAGTCTAAAAACAAAATTCAACGGACAATTCGAGAAGGTATTAATATTAAATTATAAAAAAATGTTCAAAAACCTTTGAGCCTCATTTTGCCTTCCACTGGTATGAAGTGTATAATAGGTAATTTAGTTACTAATTGCAATGGCAATGGCTCGCACAAACAGGTTTTTTCATTATCCCAACCAGCATTTTCCAAGTAAAGATTATGTATATATACTCCTTTCTAGAAAATAATAGTAAATATAAAAACCTATTATACCGTTTTACATATTATAGCATGAATATCATTACAAAATTGTTTTGAATGAAACGTACCTTTGGCGGCGCTATTAAATCATCCAAAGATTTTAAAATTGGTATAAACTCCCAATTAAGTAAATCTACTCTTATGGAAGAATTATTCGATTCATTCTGTAAAGTAAAATCAATCATGACAGTTTTATGCAATAGCTATTGATGAGGCTTTATATATAACATTATTATGTAGTAATAAATGCTTTCATGATGGTGCATTTTCATACCATCATTACACTGGTCAAGAAACTGGCGGGTAACGTGAAAGCTCCCAACCATATCGAAATGGGCTGTTGACTCGAGTTTGTCCAAGTAGTAAAATATTTTACACGTTTAATTAAGTCTTGAATCCAAGCACCCAAAGTCATCGAAGATGGATATGCTAAAAATAATATAATAAATGTATTGTCATGATATGAGTATGACATAATATAATTTTATCGATTAATATAGCAAAAAATAAACAATTTTATCTTGGTAGCAGTTTAAATTCAAAGAGATATCTTCTCTTGAGCTTAATTTATAATTAATTCTATGTTTTACTTTCACATTTTTGTTTAACGATCACAATAGTCAAACATCAAAGACTAACACAAAGATTAAAATAAACATGTATTGTTACCTAGGTATAAATTTAACAGTAGTATTAAATTAAATTTAGCAAAATTGCATATAATGCAAATTAAGTATGCTCTATAGCGATCAGTCAAACAATACTCGTATGTGATCGTTTTCATAGTGATCTGTGTGCTGAACTTTTTTTATAATTTACACTTCTCATTGAAGTTTTGTTAAATACAGTTTAAATATCACCCACTACAAAAAAATTGTGTAATATATTTAACCAGTTAGCACCATATATTTTTGAGTGTTTCTTGTATTATATTATAATATACATTTTACAACTTTGAAAAACATATTTATACATAGTAAAATGCTCTATAAGTGCTTATATATTTGTAATAATACTTTTAAGCCACTGGTCTGGTACTTTGCCTTCGTAAATAATTCGAAGTGTGTTTTTGAGATCGGACGGCACGACAGCCTGGCCTGCGATTCCTTTATTTAGTATTGTCACGGTCATTTTAATTTCTTTGAGTAAATCGTTATAACGTGTCACCTGAAATTAAAACGACTTAGATGAATACGTGTCAATATCGCATTATGTATTAAATATTGTAATATAATTTTTTTATCTCGCGGAAATAATACAAATTTGTTTAGTCATCGTAATATTATATTTTTATGCATTTCTAAATCTGAATAGTTGATCTGATTATTTTTATTGTTTGTTATTATAAATATTGTTAAATGAATATCGTTTATACATAACGAATACTAGCTATGTTTATTTTAATATATTTTTATATTAGAGTTTCTCCAACATTAAGAAAATAAAACGAATGATTCGTTATTAAAAATAACTAGATGGACGAGTTTATCGTATCACATTTGAGACGCGAACAGTCACTAAAAAATTACTGCTTCACGTTGGTATTTGAACTCTAATGCGTTCATATTAAGTTATATTCAAATGAATAAGAAAAAAATCATAAGCATAATGTCGTTTTATTTTTTCCATAAAACATCGCTATATATTTGTTTTAATGATAATTAAAGAAGTTTGAGGTTTTCAGAGGTTTACTTTTAAGAAAATAACAATAAAACGATACCTCTTGCAAAAGTACAAAATCCAATAGATTTTTTTTTATTTTAATATTTTGAATCACGTGTTCGTGGTCAATTAATTCTGGTAAACTTTCGAGAATTTGGGATAGTTGAAATGGTATTTTTTGTTCAATATCCGCTGTCTTGTCCATTGGTCCATTCGTTTTTTCTTGTAGAAGCCCAAGTGTTTCACATAACAAATGGTTTTCTCTCGTTAAATAAATCACTTTAGCGTTTGAGTGTTGACCGACCAACTGAGCCAGATGTTCGGATGGCAACGATTTGATGAACTCTTTGTACGACTGCAGACAATCGTTTTTTGGGACGAAGGAATTCATCAGCGACGATATCCTTTAAAAAACAATAAATGCAAAACCAAAGCGTGAATAATATAATAAATTTATTTTGTGTTTACGCGGTATAAAGATACTTATGTATCATACTCGTGAAACGGTGATGTAATAGCGTTTTCGTCGAACAGTTGTTTATTGTAAGTGTCCAAAAGTCTTTTGTCCCAAATATCAGTTACATTACCACCATAAATAACATTTCCTATTAAATATTTTAGCGCTGTCCAGGGCGTTTCGTCGTACTCACTGAGACAATTCGACAAAATCCTTTCAGATGCCTGCGCATTTGTAAATGTAGGTGAATTTTTTTTGAACAGTGAAATAGTGTTCGATAATATTTTTGATGCTAATTCATTATTGACGAAAAATATGTACAGAATATAATTATATAATATGAATAATTTTAGTAGAACTTCCACAACTTGAACGAGATAAACCAACTTGAAAAATGTAACGTTTCTTTCGAAATTAAAAATACGAGTTTACTATTTTATCACGGCTTTCAATATTATTTGAGGGATCTATAATTAAATTTTTTTGTATCTCTCTTGTATTTCAAGTTGTGGAATTTTTACTTTATATAAAATATTTTTATATTAAAATTAAAGTCTGCTATGAGGAATATCAATTTATTATTTGAAATATTTACCTTGAAATCAGAATCATTAAATTCGTATATTTTGTTCCATCCAATATTTTGAAAATTTTTTCTTTCAATTAATATAGAGTGAAATAAACACAAGTTAAACAGTAATGCTTTGTATGTGATTGTCGATTGATTCTGAGAGAATTGGTCTTCGTTTACATTATGGTATAAATGCAACAAATTGGATTTCAGACTCTAACAACATTAATATAAGTTTATATGTTGATATTTGGTTGTAAACTAATAACTATAAAATTTAAGTGCCTATAACTTATCATTATTTGTATTTTGTGTGTATTAAAGAAGCAATTATGAAAAGCAAGTACCGTTCCTCTGTTATTAATAAAACTTATGGGCGGGATTGATCTTAAAATTTAATATCATATAGAAGGGAAGTATTATCCCCTTACCATCCCACCAATCCGAGAAATGGGAATAATACCATAAATACGATATGTAGTGTGATTCATATTGAACAAATGTATATAATATTAGTGGTTATATATTTATTTATTTCATTAATTAATTTATTGACCTTTGGTTGTTCAGCTGATACTTTGATAGAAGTTTGTAGTAATGTTATTGGTAATCTCGGATGTGGTTTTGAGCTTAACCATAATCTAAAACTAGGATGGCTTCTACCTTCCTTCATAATATCAATTATTTTATCCAGTTGTGGCATCCATGATAATAGGAGATGACAATTTGCCAGATATATCCAATGACCTTCTTTTTGGCCCATTTGAATTAAACTAACATTAAAATAAAATTATTAGCATTTGTGTAATTTTTTTTTTAAATAAATTACTTGGTAGCAGTTGATTCTAGGCCTTCACCCATGAAAAGATATTGAATATTTTCTTTTTTATTGTAGTTTGTAGCTATGTTGGTAACTATATTTGTCGGATCAGCACCGGGTGATAGAATAAAAATTAGAGAATTTTTATTATTAAAATTATCCAGTATATTTTTAAAATTGTTGATCGGTATTTCAGAAAACTGAGGACTAAAATTCGTTGAAATAAATTGTTTTATAGAGAACGATAATCGATCTAGTCGTAAACTTTTTATGAATAGCATTCGTTGAAATTGATTACATTCGTTTTCCCACCGGTCTATTAAGAAATAAAATTATTTTAATTTGTTTTAAAATGTTATGTATTTATTTTCATAAACTATTATACCAATGAGTTGTTGATTTTCCGGGTTTGGAGATGTATACCACTTTTGCCACTCAGTTGAATATCGTTCAAATGATTTTTCTACTTCATAAAAACAGGGTAAGTTACTTAACGCCAAAATATTGTTCCAACACGTTACTGGTAACCAATCTAAAAAGAGAAAAACATAATACTTAAGTATTATGTAGATATTTATATACAATACAGTTATTGACTTGTGGAAGTACCGGGCCGTTGTGCCGTAACGATTTTTTTTCTCTCCAGTTTGATTTCACCTTTTAAAAGAAATTCCAATTCGTTTACATTTATTTTTTTTTCTGAAATCAATATCTGAATACAAATCTGGAACGATAGAACTAATTTATGGTGTTCGAACAGTCCACAACAGACATTTTCGTAAACTGCATAAGTGTGATAATTGTTTAAATTTGTAAGTCTTTCGTGGATTTGATCTGCTGCATTGCTTTTTTTAATTGAAGTTTTGAACATGATGATATAAAAATCCAACGAGTACTGATACATTGGATTAATTTTATCTAGATTATCGAGAATTAAATATAGTATGGAAGCACGTTTGGCACATAGTCTATAGCCCTAAAAAAAAAAAAAAAAACGGAGATTACTATACTAATGACCTATAATTATTTGATTATTATTTAAATGTGATTATTTATGGTCAATAATCTCAAGTCCTTAGCATTTGTATTAAATTAAGTAAAATAAGCCCCCCATCTGTAACAATAACGTTATTAATGTTTTTTAAAAATATTTTCTGGTTGTCAAACGCTATCACATATTTATTTGAAATGCTATTAATTAAATAATGTTTAAATACTGCTGTGACATGGAAATTAGATAAAATTAGGTTAGGTTAACCTTACTGTTTTAAAAATTTTATACTTTCAATTTTTCTAACACTAATATAATTTTGTAATAAAAATTAGATATTAAAGGTACAGTTGTTTATAAAATCAATAATAAATTGCATTTTTAAGTGTTTTAGATGTTTGTATAAAATTGATGGTTAGATTCCAATAAAAAATACATTGTTATTATATAACATATTAAAATATTGTTCATACCCAAATCAACTGTTCAAAAAGATAATAACAATGTAAAATTATAAGATTGAAACTTATTATCTCACATTTGAAAAACTAAAATATTTTATCGTGTACGATTAAATCAAGATTAAAAAAACATTTTGAAGCGGACTGCGCGGTGAACGTTATCACAACGGCCGTCGACGACCGCGTCTATTTTTCCAATCAACCATTAGATCACGGATCGTACCGTCATCATGACACCCGGTTTCCGATCCATCATAGGAGTGAGACTGGGAACGGACGTTCCCAGGACGTCGGATACGCACCGATACTAAGTCCGTCGGTGTATGCGTCCCGCGACTGGAAAACCATAACCTCGCGTCATGGACCATCCACCAGAAACCATTATTTCTGTCGATTGTGTTTTGTGTATCGATTGTATAAATCCACGTAACTCGCGCAAGTACCCATGTTTATCACCATAATAAACACTGTTATACTATTGAACATCATGGCTATTTGATTATCATATTATGTTGGATTGTGCGTTCTACATCGGACGCGCTCCCCAACAATTTTAACTTAAATAATGGGTCTTAACAATGATACAAACTGATGCAATTATACCTCTCGAGCTATGTATATTTCTGCTTGACTAGTTAAAGAACTTTGAAGTTGTTCCTTAATGATGTTCAACTTCGCTTTTGAAGATTTTAAAGTATTGAGAAGTTGTTCATTTTCTAATAATGAACATTCACTTTCATCTAACAACTTAAGTAATTCGTCTTGTATTTCATCAAGAGATTTTTTATCTTTTTCAATTTTAATGATCGTGTTTTCCTTAAGCTCTTCTAAATTAGAGTTTTCCATACTGACTAAAATTGTTAATAATTGTTCTTCGAGACCTTCTTCTTGAATCGTGAAATCAACAACTGTTGTCCACTTTATTATTTCAGGATCATAGTGCGCATTCTTAATTTTCGTAGTAATAAACATTCTGAAATTTTCATTGTATGCTAGTAGCTTATTACCCATTCTTATGAAAAGCTCGTTTTCTAAAACCAAAAGTTAATTATTACATTACCTGGATACACATATATTACGTATTAACGTAATTAAAAAATTTAATATTTCAACTCACTTTTTTTCACAATTGATTTAGATAATAATGATATAATATAAGGATCTGGTTTGTCAAAATCGATTTGCATTAATGTTGAATATCCATTTTGTAGTGCGATTTCTAAACTTTGCGTGTAATTTTCTAGTCTACCGTCAATAATGGTTAATCCATTATCTAATTCAATATTTTTTAACCATTTCCAAGCTTGATTTTGCGGGTCTATAATAAACGGATTTCTATAACTTTGGCTGATAATTATACCATTTTCTAAACTAAATCTATCGTTGGATAATCCGTTGGTATTCCAAATTCTGATTATTGCTGGGTCTGTTAGAAATAAAGTGACTTCAAAATTAGGGTTGTTAAGTGCTCCATTTTCTTTCATAAATGCCAACCATAAATTCATAATAAATTCTCTACATTTAAATCTAAATGGTCCCATGTATGATATAAATGCGGTACTTAGAACACAATCTCCTGGCAAATAATCAAATTCCTTGTCAATTTGATTTACCGTTTTACTCCATTTTTTTCTTTCTTTGGACAATCCATCAATTAGTTTTGTTGCTTTTTCTAAATTATTCTTCAATTCTTCTGCCTATTAAAGTAAAATTATCACAACTTTGATAAAATGCTGTAATCAAAAAAATATAAATATTTACTTTTGTAATAAGATGCTCTTTTTCCATAACTTTTTCGTCGTATTCAATTACATGTTTTTCAAGGCAATGTTGTTCTACTGAAAGATTTTTTTCCATTTCTCCAAGAGCTTTTTGTTCTTCTTTAACTGTTGCCATTGCTAGGTCAGCAGATGCTTTTTTTATAGTTACAGCTCTATAATTTAGTAATGCTCATATTCATGAAGACAATTGTAAGATGAATTATTATTTAAATATCTATTTCGAATATTTTACCTGTACATTTTAGCATATTTTTCAATAGCAATTACCCACATGCCCAAATATTTAGCACATTTTGATTGAGTACCGATTTTTTCCACATCAAATTCTGGATTTTTTACAAATGTTTCGATTTGTTTTAGAATAGAATCCGATAGATCATCTTTGTTGAAGCATTTTAACTACAATAATCAATCAACAATAGTTATCAGTATTATCATTAATTATGAAATGCATTTTACCTGATTTAGAAAACTGGGATCATCTAATTGTCGTTTAGCCTCAGCCCAGCTAGGATCAGCTTGTTTTAAGGTCATAACAGCTTCCAAAACTAATTTGACACCTTCCGGTGGCACGGAGAAATTTTTAATTTCCGAGAGATCTTTTTTGTTAAGAGCACATACTTTCTGTAATATATCAAAAATCAAATTAACATTTAATATACCTATAGTATTTTAAACTATTATATTACTGACGTTTGTAGCTTCTTCTAATTTGGCAATTATAAGTTTCATTTCAGATAAAGCTATATCATACATTTCTTGACATTTAAGTTCGTCTTCTTTTATCTTATTGATAGTCATGTGTATTTCTTTTTTTTGATTGTCAATTTTCATATTATATTTTGTAATTACATTAAATAACTCTTCGCTTTCTTTAGTATGTTTTGAAATAAGTTCTGTAACTTTTTCTAATTCACTTGACATTTCACTTATTTTCCGAATCATACCATTAATTTTAAGCAAACCATTTCTTAATTTCATTGATTGATTTCGTTTTTTAATACGCTTATCTTGAAGTGTTCTGTATAATTTAAATTGTAAATATATTTTTTGAAATAAATTGTACTTAACCGTAAACTTTCTTACTTTTTGTATCTGTATATCATTTCTAAATAAATAGCAGATGTTATACTATTGGTATGTTTAGATTCGACTTTCATATTGTTGGAATATTCAATCACAGATTGGTGGATGGAGGTGAAAATAGATGCCAGAAATATTTTTATTTTATCCTTTAAAAACATAATATTAACTAAAAAAGTATTTGTTTTTTATAAGCAATTTTTGTTCATCAATTACCTGAGTTGGACCTTCGCCTTCTATTTCATTTATCTGTAAACATAAATTTTTTTGATTAAAATATTAAAGTAATGTTCAATTCATTGCGTTCTTCTATACTAGAGCGTTAAATTATAAGATAGGTACATGACAATTGTCATGGTAAAAGTAGTAGGATAAATAAGGACACATTAAAGAGTTCAAATTTTGATTATAGGTAGTAGTTTTAACTGTTATGTAAAACAAATAAACTAAATACATTTCTCATTTTGTTTTTTTAAATTATATATAATTTAGAGAAGAATTCAAAAAAAAAAAATGTAACAATTAGGATGATTTATGAAATAAATGTATAAACGATATTAGGCAAAGTTATAAGTTTAAGAATTAAAATTATATTATTTTTAAATATACTTGACAGCAATTAATATGGCGAAAAAATAAAATAAAATAAAAGTTAAAAAAGTGTAATATAATAGAAAAATAAAGCCATAAAATATAATTACAAGTAAGGGTTCGTTGATGGCTAAAAATATTTTTGCTTTTGACGGCTTAAAAAACCTTAATGAACTTACCAAACAGACTATGGTGCGTAATCTCTTACTTACAATAACAGTAACAATCATGGTTTATTACATGTTTATGCTATCCCTAGCTATACTATTTTAATGCATATATTTTGTTTTAATGATGCTCTTATAATTATAGGAATGTAATGAAAAAAATTTTTGAATCTACGAGGAAATATATTTATCAAATTACTATTAAAAATGTAACAAAAAAAAAACTTTTTTCTCTGAATGTCAAATAAATGAATCATTAATATCTTCTATAAGATCATATATAATAATCTTTTTTTTATCTTTGAGTTATTTAAGACTTATAATTTATTAATTCCATTATCATTTTTTAAATTAAACTTACTCTCGGTTCTCCTGTAATCGTTACCAAAAAGTCGACATCCTTGAGCGAAATCGATGCTACTTCAAACAAAGCTTCTTTTGGCCAATTCAAAAACCAATCGATTGTAGTGCAATTTATTAGCGAAGGATACTGTTGCAACCTTATTCTATTATAATATAATATAATAGAAATACAAATAATTTAAATTTAAATTATACTTTTGTTAAATATCTTAAAAAAGCAGTAATGGCTTATATTAATAGTTTAACGTTTTTTACAGTCCTATTGTTTGAATAGCCAAGTATAGTACTTACCCAAATGAATCTCCGACAGGGTTGAAAGATAAAACAAAGTGTAAGTTATATTTAACGCGTTCTATAAAAATTAAATTAATATCTTCATCTGATTGTATTTCATCTGTATTTTCAATAGCATCTAACAACGACTTCTTAATCTAAAATGTATATACGAATTAAAATATAGTATCAAGTATTTATTTTAATATTGTTAAAATAATTTTACATCTTCGAATTCGTTTTCTTTAAACAACTTAGTCACTTCTCCGGTGCTTAAGATATCATTAATGATTTTCAAAAAAGAATGGTCAACTATTTGTGTATCGTTAAACAAAAACGATGTCGGTTGATTTTTTATTCCCGTTTCTGAATAAATTAATTTTAAGTCTTCTTTAAATTCCGATGTTCCATACGATTTAGATAGTTCAATGGTGAATATGCTGTATCTGCATAACCACGAGGCTATTTTTGCTAATGATGATCTACCCGACCCACCTGGAAATTTTAATAAATAATAATCGAGAATCAGGTGCATATGAAAAATATATCTTTACTAATGCCAATAAGCAGTATATGACCCATCGGTTGGGATATGACTCTAACAATACGGCTTATATGTTCAATATAATTTCTGAACAGTAAAATATCAACAGGTACAAATTCCGAGTTTGAGTTGTATTCTTTTATGCAGTTCTCGATGTAATTTTTCAAATAATCTTCGTCATCTACTTCTTGGTATAGCATGTTTTCGTTTAGAAAACTACAAAATATCGGATTCTTTTCTGATGCGCATAAATCGCGATATTTTAAACCATAGTTGCTTTCGAGCTGATTATTTATGTGATTTATGAACCATTTTTGATCGCTGTAATAAATAATAATGTACATTAAATATGTCTCACAATTAATACTCGTTATAAAAATGCAAGATATTACTTTTCGTCTATTAATCTATCATAAAAAACACGAAACACTTCATGACACCAAAGTCGTAACATAGGAACTTTAAAATTTTGATATTCGACATTACTACGCAGTAAACCTTGGAATACCTAAGGAATAACAATATTTTATAGTTTCGCGAGATTACGTGTATAAATCTGGACTTTCGTTACTTTAGATACATCTTTCAAATTAAATAAATAATGAATTTTTGCCGGTGTTGGAATCATGTAGATAATCAAATTTTTATAAAGACTAATCGTCATCGAGGTCAAACCATGGTCTATAACAATTACAAATATTTAATTGTTTTGTAAAATACTATGCGATTTAAATACTACTTAGTTCAGATACAGTTTCATCAAAATCTTTTAAATGTTCACCCAATATGGTTTTGTATATTTTATAAACGTTTTCTTCGGGACTTGTTACAGAAACAACACTAAAGCAACTCATTATCCGATTGCTTATGGAGTGATGAACTCTATCGCATAGAGTCATGGCACACACGAGTAGCATATTTTTCACATATTTTGGGCATTGTTTTCGTTTGTCGTACCAAAATCCATAATCAACCCATTGTCTAATTAATTCTAATGAAGGTCGAGCTCCGGACGTTTCTTTTATAGGCATATGCATATCATCCAAAAACGTGACCATTTTTTTCCCTTGAATTAAATTAAATTGTGTACATTTGAAACATGCAAAAAAATGTATAAAGTTTACAATATTATTCGAAAAAAATATACCAGATAATGGAATATATAGTTCTTTGGTGCGTTTTTCTAACTTTTCTTCGATCGATTCTTGTACGTCATTAGATGTAGTGTGAGCTGTCATGTTAATATTCAAAAATGAAAACTCTTTTCTATTCATAGTTTCAAATGAATTATTGACATTCATGGTTTTGCCGCATGCTTTGAGACCAGTCAACAAAATTGGTTGACTTTTACTAAGATATAACTGTATTAGATAATTATAACGAACAGTGTCTATTGTCGGAATTATAATTTTAGATATTTGTGTTCTGAAAATAAATTAGTACAGAAGGTTTTTTTTACGTTTCTTATATTATGTATCTATTACATACCCTGTATTATATTTCCAGAAATGCATAGATAGCTTTTCCTCCCAATGTTTAAATTTAGCGTAATTATCGTCCACGTAGTAATGGTAAACAGTATCTTTTATTGGAAAAACGTTTTCTAGCCTTCTGATATAAACGTCAATTTTTTTTTTCCCGTCTTCGTTCAGTGAACCGCATATCGACCAGATCATACTGTTTTAAAAAAAATTTAATTGATTTTTGGTGATTTATTAAATAATTGATTTACGTACCAAAATATAAACCATATTTTTATGAGAAATTGATATTGACTATTATTTAAGTTTATCGGAATTGTATTGGCTAAACTATTGAATGTACAACATTCTAACAATTTGCACAATGATATTATACAATTTTGATCCGTCAAAGAAACTAATTCAGTACAGTTTAATTTTTTAAATGCTAGTAAATCACTGATGTAATGATCAAAATAAAGACTCATCTATATTAATATGTTTAAATGTTTCTTTATTAAAATTAGGGAAAAGACGTGCATTAATTAATATCTTACTGCATCTTTGTAAGCTTTGAATTTACAACTGCTCAGCCAAGAATCAACATACAATCGCCAACTATTATCACTGTGATTATTATAGACTATACCACATCTTGAGACAATTGCAGGAGATGCTGATTTTAAATCTTCTACTTCAAATAAATACGACACCTTGAATTGTAAACATATTTGCTATAAAAATTGAATTTAAATACTATATATCTAATGCATGTTCTACGCAACTCTCCTTCGAATCATAAAGACGTAATACAGTAAAAAAATTATTACTTGTTTTGGTATTGAAATGCGTTCTCCGTTTGCTAAAATTAAATTTTTATTTTCGTCCATTGCTGAGTTCATATTTTCAACCCAATCACTATCAATCGGTCCATCAAATATCACCCACTTTTGTTCTAATCCTTCATCTATTCAAAATATTTTAATTTATACATATTAAAGTCACTTACTTAGAGTCTAAAAAATAATTTGTAATTTAATGTATATGTTTAACAACACCACAATAATAAATTAAACTTTTAAGAATTTAATTCTATTCATTATAATATGATATCAATTATAATTTTAGTTATTCATAATGAGTCTAAATTCAATACAATGTATGTTAATATTATCACAGTAAAATAGTAAATAAATAATATTTACCCGAACACACTTTACGCATAATTGATGACAAAATACCATCCATCCATTCACGAGTAGCTAGATTATAATGGCCGTATAGTTCTTCCAAAGTTAATGTTTTTGGATTTAAAACATAATCCTAGATAAATTGTAATAACATATGTATTTATAATGAAATATGATATAGTTGTTTAGTGATAAAAATGCAGTACATAAAAGTATATTTTTAAAATTATTTTATCATGAATAATAATAACGATGGAAATACGACATACGATAACTGTTTCAAATTTATTGATTTGTTCTCTGTTAAGTAAGACTAAGGTATCTCTCAGAGTTTTCCAGGTAGTACTTTTAGCTGCACCAGAATGTCCTATTATGATCACGGAACGTCGATAATTTTTGATTTCGTACAACTGGACTATTTTCAAGATAGAGGCATCGGAAGGTTGAAGGTTTTTTTTTAGCATGGTTCGTTTGATTGCATCTACTAAGACTCCGTGATTTGATTCTGGCGACTTTATACCGGGGAATAAATTGTTTGTTATGTCCATAAACATTGGTAAATATACGTTGTTTATACTTGCTAAACATATTTTATGAATTGCTAACAAAATAACCTAAACACATAGTACATTAAATTGGTGTTTTGTGGATTCATAAAAAATACAATAAAATATACTTCTTCTTCAGGCACTTCTATTTGTTTCCATTTACACTTGCCGGCGTATTTTATTAACTCGATCAAATCTCGAAGTTCGTATTTATAATGGGTTTCTTTGTTCAACAGTTGTTTGCACAGCGAAAACAGATTCAATATTTTATCAGCTAAACTCTTAGCTTCTTTAAATCCTTCCACAAAAAGTAGTGCTTCAGCGATTATCTTACTATCTGGGACAATCATAGATACAGTGCGAAACATCGATTTAAAGTTGTCAGGTAGGTTAGAATTGTCTTCGTTAGTGAAACATGTCGTAATAAATATACTGCAAGTTGGAACCAAATTAATTTTCATATTTTCAATGACCAAAGTTTTTAAATTAGCCGCTAGAGCCAAAAATATTGACAATATTTGTTGTGTAATAGAAGACAGAATTCCAATTTTCATCCGATGAATTTCGTCAAAACAACCCCAAGCTCCTTGTTGTACTAGACCTGAACAAATAAAACTAGGTAACAGTAGAAATAATCGTTTCAAGTAAAAAAAAAAAAAACAAATATTTTCTATACCTAATATAAAACAATACATTTACCTAAAAGAATCCGATTCATGCTTTTATAGTCTAGGTTTTTAGAACAGTTGATGACAACGGTGTATTGCGCCAATTGTTTTGCTAAATCTTTTACAGTTTCCGTTTTTCCTGTGCACGTCGTACCTTTAAGATTCCCACCTTGACACATATGCATGGCTGTGGTCAATGTAATATAACATCTGTCAGTCAAAGGAGTGATAACTAATCTTCCGGAATTTCCAAGATATTCATAACCATATTGTAGTTTGGTGTTAGTTTGTTTTATAATAATATCGTTGGCTTTTTTGTCCCAGTAAAATCGCAATTGAGATACCCATTCAAACGCAGATACGTCCATGCAATCTAAATAATTTCAATTTATTGAAGCAGGTGATTTGATATTAATATTACATAATAATATTACAATAGTACATACTTGATTTATAAATATATTCAATCACATCCCTTGCGTGTATCTCTACCACCGCTAAAGCAGTGACTTTCAATCTTTCAGTATTAGCTAATTCACATCGAATAACCTTCGAGAGCCTTGACAAAATATGTTTTTGTTTTTTCACCATTTTTTTCAAAGGATATTTGTGTTTCAAGTACTTAGACTGTACTAATGCTCGAGTACAATCAGCCGTCCATTGAATCTATTATTATATAGTTATGAATTTTAGTTAATTTTCTTTTTTTTATTATTTATTTTAGTTTACTTGTGACGCTATGATGCATAGTTGTCCTGGCCATTCCAATATCCATTTCTCACGGGTTCTTAAGTTTTTCATTAGCGATATTTTTACTTGATTCAATGTTTGTTTTAGAGAATCTCGCATTGCAGTTTCTATAGTTTTTGATTAAGCATATTGTATAAGTCTTATGTAGAATTAGTGTTATGTAGAATTTTAGGGTTTGTTTGTTTACCAATAGAATTGAGCCAAATTTCAGCTGGTCCCTCACATACAATCGGTTGATTCCAATCTACGTATTCGCCATCTTCAGAAAACATGCCCCGAGCTTCCTTCTTTTGATTATTATTTGTCTAAAAATAAATTAATCGTTAAATTAACGTCAATTTACTACAAAAAATATAAAAATAATAAAATATATTTAAATGAAAGAGTAACTTACAATTATTTTGAGGTTATGAATATTGTTGAAAATTTTTTTGAAATGAAGTTGTATAGAGTCAGGATTTCTGGAGTTCCCTAATATTTCTAATAACTCACAATTTGATATAAAATAAAATCTTGGAAATATATGACGTTTTGATTCCGTATAAACTTCTAAAGCTCTCTGGATAACTTCCAAACGATAGTTCATTGTGTTTAAATGTTTGAACAAAGCTTAAAAATACATGAATTTTTGTTCAATATTATATATTTTTGATAATTTGCAAAGAAAAGACAAAAACTTACATTTGGAATAACAAGCTTTGAATAAATTATTATCATTGTACATTTTTGTGGATATATCTTTCCATTCTTCCGTTAAAATATCGTAGTCGATGCTTTCAATAGGCATTTTTTGTCTAATGTCATCTCCTATGAATATATTCTAAATAAATTATTATAAAATAATTTGTTATTATAAAACTTAACTGTTGAGTTAGTAAATGCTTACTTCTAAGTAAATGTGTTGTCGTTGGACGGAAAGTATAATTTCTAAAACTTCAATGATAAGACCGAGGGCTTTTTCTAAAAAATCTGCTTCGTTAAGAAAAACGGAAATATTTCTATGGATCATATATTGGTAAAATAAAACAATTAATGTATATTCAAATTATTGTTCAGATTTATAACGTACTTGGATGTTTTAATTAATGACAGTTGCACTAAATGGTCTTCTAACAATTGAAATATTTCATCATTAACTTTCACATAATAAATTCCTTTATCTTTGTAAGGTTCTAATTGTAAATATATATTTGACCATATTTCTTTTATATTTTTTATTGCCTAGAAATATCAAAAATTATAATTACAATTTGTTAATATTTTGTATGTGTATTTTATACATTTTCTAAGCCAAGTTCCATGGTCGACTTTTTTGACACTTCGTTAATCTGTTTGTAAAAATTCTGCACTTTAACTTCCATTAACATTCCTAACGTAAAGTCGGAGCTATTTTCGTCAAATCGTCTAATCAAATACAATAATTTACTATTGAAAAAAAATCTATTTATTTTTTCTTTCAATACAATTTAACATTGTTGAATTATGATTACTTGTTTATTATATCTCGTATTTCATCCCAATGTCTATCTTTCATGGCTGCATTTTTTAAATCATCGATCACCGGTAATAAACGACGGAATTCGTTTATGTTGTTACATGTTGTTTCTATTATTTCCAATTTCTTATTTGTTAATCCATTAATCAAACTAATAAATTGATTGAAAAACGCATCTACTGTTATACTGACTTCGGAAATTTGGACATCCCAAAATTTGATTTCTTTATAACCTTTAATCATATTATCCCACGTATTGACTAGTTTCCAAACCGAGTGCAAAACTAATAATTCCTTAAAATATAACAATTTAACCTTTAACAGTGGATTATAGTAAATTAGATATAGGTGATACATATTTTATATATTTGTGTTTATATATTTAGATAAGCACGAAGTCAAATATTAAATAAAGGGTAGAAATCTGAGGTTGGGTAAAATTCAGTGGTTAGATAAGATAAGAGAAAAGATATTGCTGTAATGGTGTTTTACGTGATACTATTAGCAAAACAAAAGGGATTTAAATTTGCGAAAATCGAAAATTTCAAATGTCCAATGACGGTTACTTAAATATTTTGAAACTATTAAATGACTTTAAAATGCTAATATAAGAACTCAGCAAATATATTGAGACACTACGATTAATATTTATAGAATAACAAATAAATAACTAATATCGTTAAATTCAAATTCGTTGAAATATCCTATTATTTTATCAAAATTTCATTTAATTATATTTATAAGTTTCTTGTGACTTTATAATAAATTTTTTCAACTATTGAAAAATCATATACCCAATTAATAGGCCTTAAAAAAAAAAAAAATTAAGTTTTATGAATTTTCACTAAAAAAATGTAGTGGATTTTCATGATTATTATTGTTAAATAAAAATGTAATATAAAAAATTTTACTTTCAATAATCAGCAGATATGTATGAGGAATATTGATTAATATTTTAAAGATTTTTTGTCAGGCCAAAATTATTTTATCCACATTTTGAAAAATAAATTAAGGAAAAATGACATTTTCGACTATCTATATGTTACTTAAAAATACTATTTGAAAATTATATTATCTAAAACCTATGATAATATAAATATTTAGTAATCATTTTTTTTGAATTAGGATGAAAAGAAAAATTAAATTTTGTCGAAAATCAATTTTTCGTAAACGTTGCTGTATTTTTTTTATAACTTTTCGTTAGCTTTAGGATTACTGTGTGAAACTGTGAGAACATTTATAAAATGACCTATATATAACCCATAACCTCCATAACCTAACCTAAACACCAATTTTTATCAGAAACTTCTTATTATTGCGGTGATCAAAATATTGTACATAGACATAAAAAAAAAAATAAATAAAAACTCACATCATAGTTAAATCAACATATTCCTCGTTTTATTAAGAATCGAAAATAAGATTAGTTGAGGATATTGTTTATGTTATTATTTTTTTAATGTATACCACTTACTTCTTGTAGTTTACCAAGTTCATTTGAATGGACATATCTTATTTCAAATACAGCGAGATCGTCATTTATTTGCTTTTCTTCAGATTTTAATAATTCTAATTTATTTTGTATTTGTTCAGTGTAAGTTAAAGCATCTAAAAAATAATTGTATATAAAATAAAAAAAAGGCACATAAATATGTGATTTATACTACATATTTTTATGAAATAAAAACAATAATGAAGTTTACTATATTTAATAATAATATTCATCAATACGTATACAACAATTTTATTTATATTTTTGATTTAATGTGAACAAAGTATAAAATTAAACTAATGATTTTAAAATTTAAGAAATTATTCCTAAGAAAATTGTAAGACTGATTTTTATTATTTTCGAAATAACACTACATGATTAATACTAGGTTTTTAAATATACATTTTTAAAGTTATATATTAACTTCTATATTTTTTCTCTTATGTAACAATGAGAAAGGTGGATAAAAAGTTTACCTACCAATTATCTATTTTAATATATGTATCAGATATTTTAATTTAAAACTACAAAATAAATTATAGTTTTTTTGAAACATGTATATGTATTTAAAATAAATTATTTATTATAATATATATAATTATTTAAAACCTTCAGTATTAGAATTTGAATATTTATTATTATTACTAAAACTCAAACAGCATTTAATAATTTAATTAATGGTTGGAAAATTGTTAAAAAAGATATTTGTTTAAAATCAATGAGAATCGTTTATTATAAATATCTAAAATTGTAAAGAATTTTTTTTAATTTACCTTTTGAGTTCCATTCTGTAGAAATTGGAGCATTTTCTAAAAATGACTGCAATAGATTTTTAGCATTTATTTTTAAATTCGTTTGTTTTTCCATTAATGAGTTCATAAATTCATTTTGTTTTGTTTTTAACATTATTTCGGCGTCTTCAAGAGTATTCTTGTATACACTCCATATTTTAAATAATTTTTCATATTTAATTTTCATTACTTCTGGCATTTGAATATTATTAATTTCTAAAATATAATTAAAAGTATTTTTCAAATAACTGTAAGTTAATTTTATTTGATTTAATATTATACCTAATACTTGAAAATTATCAGAGATTATCGTAAATTCTTTTGCTTTATTATCGTACTCCAAAAAAATTTGTTTTCGTAGTTCAATAAATGAAGTCATTTCGGCCAAATTTTTAGGCGGTGTCATCACTCTATTGAAAAAAAAAAATAGCCCACAAATTTTTAAATTTATTATCTAACTTTAACATACCGAATACTATTAATTTGTGTATATTGATAAAATCCTTCCAAGAGCTTAACCGTCATATCAAGAAGAAGATCTGAAAAGTTGTTTATCCATTCATAACAGTGTCCAATAATTTCATCTTTTAACATATTTGTGTATACTAGGAAATGAGCAACTTGTGCTACGGGCTTAATTTGGAATATATTTCGTATATAAATTGAGTATCTGTGAATTTAATTAATTTCTTTAGTATCATGATCAAGTATAGAAAATATTTATATTAATAATAAAACAAACTGTGAATTACTGAGTCATATCCTGATTAAAATAAGTCGCTGAATTATTGAAAGTTTTATATTTCTCAAAAAATAAATTCTTATCCATTGTCCATATGTCACGGAACATTAAAAACTCGTGCATGTACTGTCTTAACCGTCTTAAAGCATTTATAGTCCCTGATAATGGGTATCAAATATATATATAATTACATACATTTTAATAAAAGGTCGTTGAACATTTTTTTCTTACTTATATTAATTTTTTCTTGTAATTTTATACATATCCGATCTCTGGAAATTTCATCTTCATACGGCATCCAATTATTTGCAGATAATTTTAATGTTTGACTTAAGTTAGGTATCGCTTTTATTGTTATTAACACATCTGTTAGAAAGTTTACAGAAAACGCTAAGATTTCGGAAAGACTCGAAGAAAAATGAATCTGCTTATAACCATTAATTATTATTAGTAATTATATTATTTTTAATTTCACTATTATTTTACATTAAGGATTACCTTATTGTTCTTTAAGCTAACGTGGATTAGTATTACCGGTGTTGGACCTGAACCATCACCAACACTTAATTCTAAAATATTTTCCAATGAATGTTGACAATTGAGAATTAACGCTTTGCAAATTAGACTATCTATTTTCTTTACATAATGTGTCCAATAAACCATGATCTAAAAGTTATTAAAAATTAATTTTATTGGAAGTATAACGAATTATTATATATGAAAAGGTGTAGTAGTATACGTTATTGATGTATTCTTTAAATCCTTCAAAGATGAACATTATGTATTTGATAATAAGTTGGTAATTATCAAATATTTTCATTATTTTATTATTCCTGAAACATAAGCCCCATAATTTTATTATGAATTTGTAACCGAAGTTAGTTATATTCTACAAAACAACGCAAAGTTCTGTATTTTTTAAATTATGAATACTTTTTTTATTTTACCCTAAACTGTAATTCCTATTTGAATTAATTTAATATCCAAAATTTATTTATTAAAAATTATGTACAAATAATGTAGTAAATAAATTAAATGTTTACAATTTCATTTTAACAACTGTTTTATTTAGTTATTAAATATAATTTTAGGTATACTATAGATTTGTGTCGGAAACTTATGGATTAAAAAATTTTTGAAGAAGATTACTGTATACCCTTTTATTTATTATTTAAAAACTTAATTCCATGAAAAATAACATGAAATATAACCACTAATGAATAAAATATGTAAACGATTATAAACTTGTACTTATTTATTTCAATTTTTCTTTTAATATCCTTGAGCTCCAAAGCTTGCACTTGGTCTGTTTTAAAAATGGTTAAATTTGACATATCTTCACATACATTTACAATTTCTATATTACAGTATTTATAATCATCTATACAGCGTTGAACCTAAAATATTTAAGAGTTATAATAATTTTTGATTAGATTTTAAAATTGCACTTAACTGATTCTATTTGATCAAAACAGTCGAGTAAATAATTATCAATATCCAGTTCATTCCACGTATAGCTTTGAATCATCGGTTTCGTTATTCTGTTGCATAACTCTATCGATTCACTAAATAATAACATTTCTTGCTCGGATAAACCTACATTAAATTTCCATAGATTCACAATTAAATAAAAATGTAACTCAAAAGATTAGTGGTTAATTATGTATCAAATATAGTTGATGTGTATTTTAAAAATATATTTTGTTATCGTCTATGTAGAAAAATACTGATCGAGATTTAACGAGTACTAGGAGTAGGTACTTCTTTTTTTATTGATATGCCTATAATTTATTATGAGCGAATTGTTCACACAATTCGTTCCATCTATAATTTTAAAATAATCTCATATTAATCTTGTTAATTACACACATTTTACTTGTATGTTGTTATGTATATATTTATTTTTAGATTTATGCAATAAAAATCATTTTTACCATATTCCTACGTATTTTCCAAAATTCCATTTTATACTTTTTATTCGACCAAGAAATATGGTCTTATATAAAATAATATTATTTATAATTTCCATACCAAGCTCATATAATACGTAATAGTTAAATTTAATAATTGAATTTATTTATACAATTTATTGTACTAATAAAAGAAAATAGATCCATTTTCTTTTAAAAGCACGAATAAAAAAAAAATCGAATAAAATTTTTTTTACATTTTGAATAAAGCAAGGAATGTATTAATTTTGTTTATATTAATTAGTTTACTCGGCAGACTGAATTCCACATCAGTATATGATGGAGAAATATATTCAAGATTAAAATTATGAAAAATAATAATGCTTAAAATATTATTGATACAGCTTAGATAAATATTTTAAATAAAACCGTTTTGCGATAATTTTTTTCTTTCTATAAACACTTTTTTGGCTAATCAAACTGAATCATAGGATTTCTAAAACACTTCACTGGATTGAAAATCAGTTATGTCGTATATAAATATTTAATTTTTATTTTATCATACATACTTTTTCAAGTTTTAGTATTTTAGTCACATTAAAAAAAAAAAATGTTAGATTTTTTATTTGTTTTTTACATTATTTAAACTGAAATAAAACTGAAAACAAAATGTTATTGAATATAGTAACAAAATAAGTAATTGTAAATTCAAATTATTAAATACTCTATAATTTAAAGCAAAGAAAACTTAACCACATAAAATATTTATAAAAATATATTATGTTTTACTACGGCAAAAATTTTTCCATGAATAAATAACCAAAATTACTTTAATTTGAATTAAAATGTAAAACTTCAAGACTAAAATTAATTAAAGATAAAATACCAGCTATAAGAATATTGTAGTCGTTAACGATTTTTGAAGAGTTTCGATGAAGGTGCTTAATTTTTTCTGCATTTTTAACGATATAATTTGGTTTTAATGTACTTGCAAAACCAACCAATGTCCAATACTGGATTTCAGTTACCAAATCAAATACTTCACTAGAATTCAATACAAATAGGTTTACAATAAAGTATTAGTGTATAATGTATAAAGTATAATACCTGTCCAAATTTATAGTCAAATGCCAATATTGATCATTTTGATTTCCAACTAAAATATTTTTTTTTAGTTTTTTCCCATAATCATTATCTAATTGATCACTCCACAATTCATATACATTATTTATTAGCTCTTTATACGTAATTTTAAAACTTCTGTATAATTTTTGGAATTTTTTCATATTCGTACATGACAATAACCAAGGACGTTCAAAAATCATCTAAAATATACAATATTATATTATTATATTTTATTATTTATTTAAGTACAATATTTATAATAAATCGTGTTAGATTGTGAAAAATTATTAGTATGAATTGATGTACGTTTATATTATAATTATACTGTGAGAAGAATATTATGAAATCGCTTGATTGTATAATATAAAAATTGATTTTGTTTTATAAGTATTTTCGAGTTTACACTGGCAATTCGGACTAAAGCTTGTCGTGTACGTTTGTTTATTGGTTGACATTTTAGCTGCAATGGATCAACAACTATCTTCAAAGTCGTGTTCACTAATTACTAGCTTAAGTCCTCAGTGCTTTTTGGTCTTTCTGAATTCCACTCTGTACTTATAATCCTTCTACCGGAATTAGTTGACATTATTACGAGACATCGACCGTGTGATCGTCGTCAGTCGATGTGTTTCTGAGTTACGTTAGTTCTTCTGTTTGGTCATGTTTACAACTACAATTACTCTATAAATATAGTAATACTTTCGTTTCTTTATTTCTTCTTTCTCCGAGGTGTATAATCATTGATTTTCAGTAAATGTATTTGTTTATTTCTTAGAAAATAAATTATGTATTATTATTTATTTATCATGAGTACAACAACATAATTTACTAAAGAGAGAAGGAACATAATCAGCATTATACCGGTATGAATTATGACGTAGTTTTATCAATCGTGTTTTTTACATTATATATACCTACATTACACTATAATGAGTTATATTAGCACACTTGTAAAACACTTAATTACATAATAATCATTTTCAGTAGTGGTGCTTTTTCATAGATATTTATAGAGATTAATTAAGTTGCAATGAAATTTCGAAATTAATAGTGTTTCTGTATTCAAAGAATGTTAGACGTGACATAAACATATGATGGCATTTATGTTCTGTGGTAAATCTAGAGAGTGGACAGAAATGATTAGACCCCATCTCTTCACTATCAAATTGTTACCGAATTTCACCGGTCTTAATATCTACTGTGATAAATAGTAACTAAACCTTTTTTCAGTAAAAATTACTTTGTATATATTTTAAATTTTGATAAGCTTACAACAAACGATAGTTGTAAAATTGCAACCAAATGTAAAAGATTGTTTAAAACAAAAAAATATTCTTATTATTTTGAATAAATAAATTTTTATTATTATTTAAATTAAGTATATTTGTATTATTTTAAATAAAATATCCAGAATCTACATTAGATATGTATATAAAATATAAAATATAAATAAATATAAAAAATGTATAAAGTAGTACATAGTTTATCATTCAGTAGCTGAATATCGAAAGAAAATGTTCTTGGTGATATTTTAAATATTTTATATAATTGTCCACGAATAAGTACAGAAAATATTTTAAACCGTACTCGTCTCATTACATTGGATAATATTTTGAGGGGTTGTTCAAACTGAAACATGCGAATATGGTATATTATTGTGATACTATTATTATCGAGAACAGGTACATTTTCACAGTCTATCGAACTCAGTACTTTGAAAGTCTAATCATAACAAACATTTTTGATTCATTTATAAACAATTCATATAACCTAAATAAAATTACCGAGATATCGAAACAAAAATGTAGAAAATATTAATTTTTGCGTTCTAGGTGTGTTTCGTCTATGTATTGTCTGTGTATGCCAATAATAAATTAAATAAAAAACGCCTAGGGTGACATTTAACATTTTTATAATATGAATAATTTTTCTAAAAAAATGATTACAATTCCTAGTACCTATTTATATCAAATTATGTGTAGTAAAAAAAAAGACTTTAAAAATTGTTTTGTTTTATTTAAATAAGTAGTGACTTACTTGTTTACATATGTATTGTTCAAATCAACTGTTAATTTTACATAAATAAGTATAATAAACTCAGAATTAAATCTAATTTAGTATCATTTATGTAAAAAAAAATATCTATTGTAGAACTTACATGTATGGGGCGACAAAACTTAAGTTTGCCTAGGTGTGATTAAAAATTTGATCAGAGCCTATGCATAACATATAATTTGGTATGCATAACTAAACATTATTACGGTATTATATCTTCTATTTATATTTACACGCACAACTTAGTTCATATACACTGAATAGAGATATGGAATAAAAACATCAAGTATATGATTAAGATACGATGTTACTAGTGCGAACGTGCGCTTATAGTTGAAAAAGTTTTTAACCGTCATTTTTCGAGCCGCGTTTACTGTAACATATGCAAGATAGAGAATTTGGACCCAAAACAGCCAACTACTATGACACACATGCTTTACACACTGAATAGACTACATGTGATAATTAGGATTTATATATAGTTCAATCCAGTGTACATGATCTAAAACGAACCTACAAGCTTGGATTAGAATCTTCAGGGGTCCAGGGGCCAATAAATGGTTATGAGCCCCCCCCCAATTAGAAAACAATTCTTTAAAATCATTAAAATATATAATAAAACTAATTTAAACTTTTTTAAATAAGTATAATAAAAAAAAAAATTAAGTATTTTATGTAAAAGTTTTTTTCCTTGCTTTTTGTGTATCAAATGCTTCTAAGGTTTTATTTTAAATGGTATTGGGACAAAATATCCAAGGAAAAAATATCCAGGGATAAAATAACCAATATATAAAACAAAATATCCAAATAAAAAAAAAATTATAAAAATCTGTATTATTAATAACAGTATAATTTTTTTTATTTAAATATATTATTGTTCATTTTTAGATTACATTTTAATAACATTTAAAATTAATAATACTTTATAATACAGTTATAAAATAATAATAATAAAAATAATATGTTGTGTTATATAATAATTATATTTTTAATTTTATGTAGTGCGTTACAACGTAACATAGTTTTATTTTTACTATTATTATTTTATAACTATATTATAAAATATTAAATAATGTTAATTTTGATTTAAAAATAAACAATGTATCTAAATAAAAAATAAATAAAAAAATAAGAAAATTATGTACAAATATACAAATTTTTATAATTTTTTTATTTGGATATTTTGTCCTATACATTGGTTATTTTATCCCTGAATATTTTATCCATTGGATATTTTAACCTTAGATGTTTTGACTTGGATATTTTAGTACAGGATATTTTTTCCTTGGATATTTTGTCCTAGATTAATTTTAAATAAAGCGATATCAAAATATTTATCTCCATACACACAAACCTGGACATGTGCCCCCATTTATCATATATACGGTAATAAATATGGTAGGTGATTGACAGGACCCAACAGGAAAAAAATAAAAATATTCTTGTAGTTAATATAAAAAAATACAAACTACCACTCAATATAATTTTAAGACGAAAAGTTATAGACTTTTTATTTCCGGGACGTGGCTCCTTCCCTTAATCTGGACTTGCGCACACGGTGTATAAATTATCAACTGATTCGAACACGTTTTCGATATCGCGTTTTTCGTCGCAGGTATTTCGTATTATCGATTATTTCTAAAATCAGTTGTGCAACAAACATAAGTAACTCTGTACTCACGTTTTTAAGGGATGTGATCCGTCTGTACTCGGTCATGGCGGTGAGACATACGCCTGAGTATTTGGCTACGAACGACGGTATCCTATAGCTGTTGCCCGTGTAGAACTGCATGGCGAACGTTATTTCGTTGATGAGCATGGCATACACTTCGTCCGTCTTCTTCTTGAAATGCGAATTTAACTGCGGCCAACTTGAGAAGTAATGCAAACTCTGCAACACATTCAGAGCATCTTCTACGTTGCACGTGATGCTCAGCGCGTCGTCTAACAATTGCTCCACGATCGCGCACAAATCTTTCATTTCGTTTTTGAATCTGAGAAACGTTAAAATATTCACCATCGATCCGATTCGAATTCATTTGAATGATTGGTATCGATATTAAAAACTATAAAGGCAGATGTTTCCCTAGGTGATGGAGGCGGTTGACCCTTCCCTCATACGTCGAGCGATAGTTTTGTTTTAAAAAATACCCAAAATTCTAAGAAAAAAATTGTAATTAATACATCTTGTTTTTTCTGTTTTGTTGGCTAAACATTTAGTGCAGAAACTGCAGAACGTAACTTCTCGTCACTTCGCCGTTAGCATTTTCATTTGTCAGTTAGAAAGACTATATGAATGCATTTTTATACTTTTATTTAAACCTATCACTAAATTATATAATTTTTCTAAAACATAATTTGAATTTTACATTTTAAATACCTATATAAAAGTATAAAAATGATACGTGCTGTAAATTGTACTACTAATAGATGCATTTATATTTTTACTTACCTACACTAAGAATTAGTAACAGCTTTATTCATATTCCATTATTATACTTTAATATTGATTATGGTTATTCATTAATATGCACTAGTTCATTTAAAAACTTACTATTAAAATATTAAATAAATGTATAATAATAAATGTAATAATAGTAAATAAATGATTTACCGCTTATAGCTTATGCTTATTATTGCTTTGCTGTGTAGTTTATTAGATCAATAGTAGGTTAAGAAACCGAATGAGTGAGTAGAGGCTGATTGGATTAGCGTTTTTAAATATACATTGAAATTGATGTATCAATATTGATAAGATTATTGATCGCTTTGTAACTTCAAACAAAAGAATTTTAAAATGTTTTACATAGGTAACTAAATGTCCCTTATTATTATTATTTATGTGAAATAATTAATTTAAATTGTACTGTTTTACGGTATTTTTACGATGTATATATAGTTTAAAGCTAATAAAATTTAAAAAAAAAATTGAGAGACTATTATAATATTTTTGTTAGTTTGAGTAAAAAATGTTCATCCCCCTCCCCTGGAATTGAACTGAAGGCGCTCCTACGCAAGGGTTATAGTAAATTACTACTACGGTAGACCATAATAATATTCTAATAAAATATCTACCGGGGTTTCTATAAACATATAAACATATTTTAACGATCAGATTATCTTACTCGAGTTCGTGTTGATACCAATCGGTAGTGTTTATGTTGAATATCACGTTCTGAACGTCTTCCAAATTGTTGATTAGCTTGTTGAATCGCAACTCTATGGACTCTATAACTTTTTCAAACTCCAACTCTTTGGTGAACGAGAATTTCGGTTTCGGTATGGGATGATTTCCATCCATCCTAACCCCAATAGTAAGTACAATTAATAATAATATATTGTATATAAATAGTTATCAGAAGTTATACTGAGTTTTAAAATTGATTATTATTTTCACTACGTTATACAGTTTGTAAATCGAAAATTTTAACTAGCTGTCAAGAATATTGAATTATTATTAGGTATACCTTTTGAATAGAATCATTGATTTGCATATGTAGTGTACATCTCTGCATCGGTCCAAAAACATATGCACATCTTTTGTTTCCACTGACCATTGCCGGTTATTTTTGGAATTATAAATTTGAATAACCTGAGAAACGTTTAATACGAAACTAAATTATTATATGTATATTTATATTTTTAGCTATAGATTTATATAATATTATTATAGCTATACTTTATTGTACACTAAAATATAATTTTCACAGCAGTTCATTGAAATTTGTAATTTGTCCAAAACGCTCTCCGTATTGCCTGAGAATAAATCTGCCATTTTTATGGTTTTTCGACAGATATATACGATTTGATTTCCAAGATATTCGTATAACCGATTCATATCAGACCTGTTTAAATCATCTTACCCGTTGAAAATCGATCGCTTATCATAATAATAAAATTACGATAATATTTTACCATTTATTGTAGAACGGCGACTCTTCGAAAATAAAAATAAACTTTACAAATATATCAGGTAATCTTGATAAAACATCGTCTGGTGAATTTATATCGTACAAACTCATTATTGGTTCTGATAAAATTTGCAAGTAATTAAGATTGGACGTGGATTCCATTTTTGCTGCCTATATGTTAAACAATAAAAAACCCGAGTACGATTGTGGTGAAAAATAGTTTAAACATGTACTTGTTTGTACAAATATATAGTTTATTATATTATATTCATGATATGGTAGTATTATAAAGCGCCGATATTGATTTGGAAAACCTTATAATATTTTAAAATACATTAGCATTGCATCATTTATATTGATATGCATTCTTATTTTATTTATACGTTCGAGGAATGATTAAAAGTTATTGTTTATTTTATATGTAGCTCGAGCATGGGTTTTTTTCAATAGTAAAAGACTACTGTGACATCCTTATTATTTTACTACTGAAAAGTTATAATGGCTACATAATTTAATATCATATTAAATGTATTAATAAAATTATGTATTGATTTTTCGGCACATATTTTATTAATTTGTTGCGAGTATAGTAACTATCGTTCATTATTTTTTTTACCAATAGTCCTTATATTATTTATAAATGTATGGCTAATCACTTACAACTTGTAAGTTACAAGTGTAAAATAACAATTAAAATTGGTGGTTTTATGGTTTTTTTATACAATAGAAATATTATAGTTTAAAAAAAGGAAGTTAGAGTACCTCAATTTCATCTAAAATATTATTGAATGAATTAACAAGAATTGATTGATGTTGCTTCAGTATTGTAAGAATTTCATTGACACTCTTATAGCTTAGTAAAGTAGTTATAAATTGTAAGTTTGTAACTAAAACGAAAAAATAAATCAATGACTATAAAATTAAAACATTTATTGTTATGCATACATCTACAAAAGTAAATAATCAAATTTTAAAAAGTTATACAAATAATATTTGTTGTATTTGTAATAATAATATTTGTATAGCTTTTTAAAATTTAATTACTTACTTCTATAGATGTATATATAACAATAAATGTTTTAATCTTATATTATGAGATTAATATAATATGGCTCATATATTGTTGAATACTAATTTAAACAATATATTTATGTTCTTATTTGTAAATTCTTACGTCGATTTTTCCAATAACTTATTTCGTCTATAATATGTTCCATCATATATTCACATTTTTTAGGTACTCTTTCGGTATCCATTAAACACTTCTGAATTTCTAGAGTATATACGTTTAAAATATCTATAAAAGACAAACAATGCAAAACGTTATGGAATTAAATTTAATGATATTGTTCAAATAGTTGTAGTTTTGTTATATTGTATAACAATATTTATAAATCATATACAATGCAATTCATTTGAAGTTAAAAGTGCTCTGATTTAGATTTAGATTACATTTGAACTATATAACTTTATAAACAATATAATTAATAATAAGTAATTAAGTAGTATAATTAAAAATTACTTAGTATTTGTTGATAATACAAATTAGCTTATAAGTCATTATACACATTTTTATAACATTGCTATCATTATTGCTACAGATATTAATAAAACTAAACACTCAATACTCGATTTATGAATTTTAATATTTTAAAAAAATTTAAAGTTTACAAAATCAAATAAAGTTAAAAAATTAATTTAATTAAATGTATTGGAAATGTTTTATGACCTTTTATTTTAATATTTTTTTAATTTTTTATATTTATTTAACACATAATATAAACTACTAACTTTCAAGTACTTTAAGGGTTTCTTCGCTCACGTGTTTTGAATGATCATTAATTTTCCCAACTATCGTTGGAATGTAAATACTGGGCATCCCAATGAATTTATACCTCAATGAACATAATTCTTGTATAACTGTTCTGTATTGTTCAAAAAATTGATCTTTTTCACCTGGTGAATACGGGTTAAGAAAAATGTAAATTTATCGAGCAAATAAATAACACCATAGATCAATGAAATAACGTAGACATTTAAATTGCTTGAACACGTTGTTAAACCGTGTATATTATCTGTATATGTAAAAGGATACTGGCTGACCACGAGAATATGAACGGAGAATACAAGGAATCCAACAGTAGAAACATAGTTTTCTCCACTTGCGTGTCCAATTTACCAAATGAGATAAGTTTCAAAAAGTTTGTGTTGTCCAGACGTGTGGATTCGTTTTCGATCATCTTCAGGAACCACATTATGGAATCGGTACGAGCATCGGGTATGCAAAAGGTAGCTTTAAGCGTGTCGTTTTCATAAAACAAACAGAGTATTTTCTGATCCGTACTAACGAACTGTTCGATGATGGATATGACGCTAGCCGTCCAGTCAGATTCTTTTGAGTAAGGCAGAAAGGTGCACGCTTTGATACGATTTACCTAAAATCATACAGAAACAACATGTTGATCTATCGTTTAAAAACGAGTATACAGCATGATTTAAAAGTATAACAGTAAGTGATGAAAAAATATTTTATCATCATTAAGATACACTTAGCAGTCATTAAACGATTAAAAAATTAATGGCACCTATTATAATCTGCAGGGTGCCGCACGAGTTCTTGCCTTGTGTTCATCTCAAAGAAAACCAACACTTTACATATAAATATTGTTTTACACAGTAGTGCTCGAAAAATGTTGAAGGAAAATGTAGTTTAAGAACGGTTGTAATGTTAAATTAAAATCCTCCCTAATCTCATTACCACCTAGTATTTTCCCGTATCATTCCCTTATCATATTTTATTAAAACGGTACCCGCCAAGATCAAAGTGGGTATTTTTAATTTAAATTAAATTTTGTACAGTGTAGTCTCAAAGTTTATTCAAAATAAAGGTAGGATTATCCTTAATTATCTTCCTACAGCTGAACACGCCTGGTTGTATACATTTGAAAGAGATGATAAATCATTAAAATTGAAATATTATTCTATTTCAGTTGAACTCAGTATTTATACTAATTAATTTTAAGAATACAAAAACAAAAAGTAACTAAAATTTAATTTTTTTGCATTTTTCATGGAATCGTTGAAAATCTAAGGAGGAGAAATAAAAATTAAAAATACGGTTTTAAAATCTATTAGTTTCCTTGTTCATGAATCTGAATAATGAAATTTTAATAACAAATGACATTTTTATAAAATAAAATAGACGTATTTCTACAGAGCTAATTATACTATTACGGTAATTTGGTAGTATTTAGTACTAATAATATACTTCGTACGATTGGTATGGTTTTCCTTTATGTTTAATTTAATGATGTTAATGATATTTATCTACGCCAAGTTACTTTATCAATATTCATGAAAATGTTCAAAATTTATAATTACCAGTTTTTTTATTGTGGACGCATCCATTTTATCCTCCTGCTGTTCACTCATATTATTATTATTTAATTATGAAATATTATAATGAATTAAATTGAATATATCATAAAGTTAAGTAACCACGCCAGCTCATCGCTAGAACTATTACGCATTATTAGGTTTTATAATGGCGTACTATATACACAACAAATGTACGTGTGGCTTTAAACAGAAACATGTTGTTTGTTACTATAGACACCTATACACATAATGTGCGATTACTACCCTTGTGATGGTTGTGAGTCATAATACCGTCATATTCGTTAGTACACTTTTACTCATAGTTTCCATTGCATTCTCAGTGCATAATGTGTATAATCAAGTAATACACGAATCCCATGGTTAGAAATATATCGTTTGTTTTCTTGGTTTGCAATGCGATACACAATAATTATTTCACTGTGCATCTTGTTAAAGGTGTCTCTTGTCTCTTGTAGAATGTTCATGTTTAAATTTAAATCTTTGAATATCAAAAAATAACATATTTGATAATACACTTCTCGCATATAAATAATTTAAATTAAATCAATTATATTCTTTATAAAACAATACAATGTTATCCTATATAGATTTTTAAATTATATTTAAATAAGATAATTTTTAGTAGTTTCAAGTGAATTAAGGAATATATTGTAGGTACCACTCCAACTCCCAGTACCATATGAATATATTGACAGAGACAGAGAGATTTTTATTGTAGTTGGTGAAAGGATATTTCTATGGGTCTTAAGTTTATGAAATAATAATCTGTAGGTGTAATAATAATATGATTTAACCATTTGAGGTTAGAATTTATAGTAATACCTAAATATTTTACTCCTTTGAACTAAAGAAATAGAAGCGTAATTATATTTACTGTCAATAATAATTAGTGGATTCCTTAGACCCTTTTATAGGAAGAGGAGTGAACTTCATATATATATATATTCACATTCATGTATTTTTCTAATACGATATAAATAATAAAATAACAACAGTTTGAAGAAAAAAAAAGGCCATGAGGGAGGCGAATATCAAATTCACCTACCCTCCTCCAGAGTACCCCCTTGTTAATAATAGCAGTCACTATATTTAAATTAAATTCATTAAAATTTTTTTTTTTTGGGGTGCTTTAAGATAATTATTTCCAATAAGTGACAATTTATTTATGTTTAAGTTCATACAACAAGTTTTTGTTAAATTAAGAAATTAAGTTCAAAAAGGTTAATAGATTATAAGTTACATCAAACCATAGTTTTATAATATTTAATACATGAGTAAACTTATTACGAATATGATTTTTATTTATGTCATCAATAATAATTGATGTGTCATCAGCAAAACAGAAAATTAATCCTCTAGAGTTTATACTCATAAAGTTATTAATATACACAATAAAAAAAATATTTTCCAATATAGTAATTTGTGGTATCCCATAATTTGAAATCAATCACTTAAACTATCATTTACTCTAACTTGTTGAATACGATTTTCTTGAAAATGATATATTAGGTTCTTTGCATTGCCCCTGATACCTTATTTTTGTAGTTTGGCAAGTAATATTAAATGATAAACCGAACGAAATTTTTTTTTAACATTTAGAAGAAGTCCTTTTACTGCTTTATTCTCATTTTATTTGTTACATATTTAAATATATTTTTTAAATTTTTTCTTAAAATATACGCCCCCTGAAGCCTCAGTATAGAATGATTTAGGCATATAATAATTTGAAAATTTAGCGAAATAAAAACAATGTTTAATAAATCTATTAGTGTTCTAGGTTTATAAATTAGTAAACAGTGTGAAAATATAATGTGAAAAAATGGTTAAAAAGAGAAGATATTAATTTGTATCGTTCTTTGAGAGGAATGTAAAATATTAAAATTATATTATAAGTTATTACAGGAGGATCGTACTCTGTTGATAAGGGAAAAATAACTGTAAAGTATTCTGTGCTTAGTAAAATGAAAGGTTGGCTGGTTTTTATATTTAAAAGTGGGAACTGATAAATTAACTAATCTAAGAAGAAAACCGTCCTCCCTATTGTGCTATGTAAGATTTTGTAAATAAATATGAGGTCAAAATATAAACATCTTGAACTTAGAAATTGATACAAGTCTTATTAGAGGTTCATAGCAAATATCGGTGATCATACAATAATTTGGAATTTTAGTAATAATAAATCTAAGAAATTTATTTTGTACTTTTTTAATACTGTTGATTTAGAGATGTAGCTATATTCAAGTATTGAACAAACGCACAATAAAGAGTCTTTAAACGATAAAATGTTGTAAAGTCTCGAGTATTTCTGATAATAAAGCCAAGTGTCCGTGTTGCTTTTATCATGATTGAATGTGAGTAGAAAAAGAGAGTAAATTTGAAAATATAATTCCATGATCTTTTATATAGTCAACTTTAGGTAGATTGTAATTATCGGAGTAATATACAATATTGATCGGGGGATTATTTCGATAAAAAGAAATAGAATTACATTTATTAATGCCAACTGTAGTCCATTTTCATAAAATCAGGCTCTGAAATTATCATAGTCTTCTTGTAATTTAGAGTTGTATCTTAATGAATTAATATTGTAATATAGCTTTAAATCATCAGTGTATATATTAAAATTTTCATGTTTAAAAATTGAGCCAACGTCGTTTATGTACAAAATAAAAAGTAGTGGTTAAATAACAAATGATCACTCTGTAAGACACTGTATGTGACTGTAAAGTTATTCGAAACATACCTAACTACGGTGATATATGACTAATTACTGTCATTAAAGCTTTATCAGAGCCTTTATTTCTGTTGAAATCAAGTTGTTTTATTGAAAATATTGAATATGGTTCTAAGAAGTTAAATTGTCTAACTTATAACCACTTTTTTAGGACTTTAGCTAGTCAATTATTAGCAAACAAATATTTTTAACGATTTAAAACAAATATAATAAATGCTTGTTTTAATATCTGCATATTTCAAAAATTATGAGGTATTTGTTGCTATTGGTGTTTCATCCGATCTAATGCTTTAGAGTTAGATATGTCTCTGCAGCAACGGATCCGATGGCCGAGCAACAGCGCTCAGCTGGTCCTTGATCAGAGTAACATAAGGCCGACATCAGAGTTTGACACGAGTTAATAATAAGTTATTTATAAAATTATGTACAGGGATGAATTAAAATTAAATTAAAAAATAAGTTTTTTCGAAATTCCAATGTCATTCTTAGTGGTATACGATTGGCGACCGAAATCGACATAACGCCATGTGCCCCACGTCCGTGGACGGGTGGTGCGATATGCAAGGCTGTGAGCCAGACACAATTGAGGTGCATGCCGTGCAGGAAGACAGCAGCATCCATAATTTCGACTGGAAAAGGGCACCGAGAAAAATTATGGACTGGACCCGTAATGTCCATAAGTCGGTCGATTACGTGGAACCGGTCGTGACCGAACCGTTATTACTGATGATCTATTTGATTGTGAAAAAACAATGATTAGCAATGATTGTATAATTTCGTTTTATTTAACTTTATTTACGTACACTATTTATATAATCACAATAATTTTGTACAATTTCATACTAATACATAAATATTATTTCACATGTAATATGTATATTTTTACAATAACTTAAAATACATCACATCCAAAATCTTTACAGTTCCTTAACTATGAATAGAAATGGTTAACAACAACAAAAAAAAAAAAGTGATGTTTTACACACTTAACAGCATTATAATGTAATAATTTAACAACAGTTCATAAAAGTCTATTCAAGTGTCTATAATATAATATAAGGTCGCAGAAAAATAATACACATTAATTATCAGTTAAATCTGAGCTTTTTCTTATCATCATATCCCCACTGATGTGATTCTCATGTTACATAGGAGTACAGCTGATTTACGAAGTACTTTTATTTTGTTTTTACATAATAATTTATGAACACCAAAAAATAATAACTATACATACATTTTAATTTTAAAATCAATAATCGAATTATATTTATAAAATATAGATTTTTAATTATTTATGAGGTAACTGTATAAAATAATAATAATAGAAATATTTTCATTTTACACGCGTAATATCATCGTTCGGGTCAACATGCGTGGGCGCTTACTTTTTACATCATTAAAAAAACCGCTTCGATGATATAAGATTAGGAAACGGACGAATAAAACGTGAGCAAAAAAAAAAACGATTTAAACAATACCGTACTACATTGGTGCAAAATCACTATTTTTCACACGTGATTCACGAGTCTTGCGAGTCGAATCGAAAACGACGCGGACAATCGTTAAAATTGTACACAATAAATATTTTAAATACCCGTCGGTTGGATGACACTTGAGAAACGTGAAACCTCGTTCGTTGCACGATTATTGCTGTTCGGTCGAAGATAAATGCACACGCGATGTACGACGATGGAGTAGAGAAACGGCTCGATTGATTCGTTTTTTTTTTCCAGCAAATTAGTCGTGAAAAAATAAAACATAATATATTTACCGTTAGTCGGTGCAAGCTGCATACAGTGCAAAGTGTTACGGATAATTGGAAACGTTCGAGAACGTTATGTTTTTTACTTATTTTATTAAAAAAAAAAAACTTTATGGCGTCTATTAGTTTATAGAAAATCGTGTACAAAACAAAAGGAATCGACTGAAATATACGCTAATAAGAATACATTAATAGTAATAATAATAATAATAATAATAATAATAATAACGTTGGGGAATAATTTTACAAATTTTCAGAACAACATTGTATATTTGAAAAACACGTAGTGATATAGAGGATTACAGCTGCAGTGGACGAGTCAGGAGAACGACGAGCCGACCGCGAAAGACTACGGTCCGCGTTTCACAGGTGGGCCAAGATCTCCATCTCGGTTTCCCGGCACCGCACGTTGGTGGCGTCATTGTTGGCACTGGACACGGTCACGATCACCGTGCCCGGTGCGTTGGTCACCGGCGTGGTCTGCACGATGGTCACCGGGTTGCAGTCGATGTGGTCGGCCACGGCCGTCTTCTCGTCCACCACTACAATGTTGCGCACGTTGTCGTCTCCGCAACCGTTGTCCGTGACGCCGCTTCCGACCACGTCATTATTGTCGTCGTCGTCGGGCGGCGGCGGCACTTTGTTGTCGACCGCGGACAATATGTCACCACCGACGCCACCACCAACGGCCTCCGACATGGCGCTCATCTGCGACGGGTTGCGGCTATGATGGCTGCTGACCGCAGTCGTTGAGCCCATCACCATCGCGGCCGTCGGGTCCATCAACTGACAGCCCGGCCGCAACGTGCTGGTCCGCGATCGGTAACTGGGCGGACCGCTATAGTCAGCTGACTGGTGATGGTTGATCAGCGTCGTCGGTTGATACAGGTACAACTCACCCGGATCTCCGCGGCAACACACGTTTTGACCTCTGCAAGGCATAATGATTTGCATTAAAAAAAAAAAAGAATGAAAAATTTACCGTTGACTTTTATTTTTGTGACGAAGGAATGAATTTTCGTGGATTTCCAGTTGCACCTGATTGAAATCGACTTCGTGTTTCCTCACAGGTGCAACTGAATCATATATCTGGGGTAAAGTATTAAGACAACACAGACCTGCAGGCACTACGCTCCCACATCACCATGTAACTCTGATGTCCTAACATATACAATCTGTCACTCATACATTCATCACTACAGACTTAAATCAACTAAATAATGGGTCTATGATTCATACGGAACAACCTAAATATTCAAATCGAATAATATTGAACATTATGTCAAAAATAAAGAAAAAAATAATATTTTTGGAGATCACCCCATCCCCATAGTCGCACTTTTGTGGTGTCATATACAGGATACTAATTACAATTTCTTTGGTTTTAATTATAACCAGCCATCGGACTGAAGACTAAACCATAGACGGGTGCGTTAAATGGCGAGAGCGGACCAACAGGAACGACATTGATTGTTTTTTTTTATTTTATGAACCATTTTCCAACAAGGCCGATAACGTACATTTTGTTGGTTTTGTTCAACGTACGTATCACAGATTTCGCAACGCAAAAACGGTAATGAAATAATGTTTAATACAATTGAAGCCGAGTTTTAATAATCTTCGAGGACTAGGATGTGGTGAACGATCCGGCAGCGCGTATTGTTTGGAAAGTACATAATACGAGTATAGTGTCTTAAGGCTCTCGTATTACGTGAACAGTTTTGGTTCTATCTAAGTACGCATGCAACGTAATGGTATTGTTTTTTTTTTATTTTTATTTATTGTTAAATCGGTTGTGCTGTGACACTTATTTTGGGCTTAGGTATAATTTAACCATGTGGTAATTTTTTTTTTCTAGAACATAAAGTAGAAATAAAATGTATGATTTCAAAAGCCGTCTTCTATGAAAACCATGGCTAACGTAGCACACCCTGCACGGTCACGTGTGTCGCGTGTAAACACATGACGAAACGAAATCCTTTCTCGTTACATACGCGTTTAGATGCACGTGAATGTAATCTTATATGTGTTACTGGTTTGAAAGTTAAGTAATCAAAAGTGCCCGGATGTAGTACGGAAAAAAATGAAAAATACCTCGTACGATATTAGGCTACCTAATACGCACGACCTGCTCTCACCTTATCAATGTGCTTGGTTGCGACCTGTACGTTGGCGGTGGTGAAGCCGTGACTGGTGGCATGTTCGTCTGTCGGTCCAACAGCAACAGTCTCAGTCGGTATTCTTGCATGGACGCCTGATAAGACGGTGGCGGAGCTCGGTATTCGAATTCCGGATACATCATCGCTGCAAAATGAACGTGGATTTATTATCGAAAGAAATCGAAAAACAACATTAATTATTTATTTTTGAAGAATAGGGGACGTCTGTTTTCCCCTGTAGACCCCGATCAATCTTACCTGCATACGGATGATGGGGTCGGCCGTAAGACGGCGGCAGTCTAGGTACGAATCGTCGATTGGCTTCGGCCGCGTCGTCCAGCGATCGGCCTAACCCGAACACTGCACCGCACGAAGACGCTTCTTGGCCAGCCGTCAACCGCCATGCAATACCACTAATGGCTACTAGAATGACACCAACACCTGTAACGAGAGAAAGGAAAAAAATCAAGTCAAAATACCATTTTCGTCGGTATAACTATAAGTCGTGATCATTAGGTACACGTAACGGGTAATGTTTACACATTTGGATGAAGTTGATATAAGTCGGAAAATGTAAAAATTAACCAATCGATAGTGGATAATGTTAAAAGTTATAAATTAAAAATAATGTAAAAGTTTAGTTTTATTTAGCACTCTGTATGCTAAAATTATTGTTAATTATGTATTATTTATGAATTATTGATTTCAAATTGTTTTATCTGATGCTACTCTAACGGTTGTTAAAACATTATTCAAAGGTCCACAGGTAATTAATTATACGGTTCAAGTTAACATTGGTCAACATTTAATAATATTTATGGCAGCTAATGATAAAAGTTGACTAAAGTTAATTTTACTCAAATTTTAAAATTACCCAAAACATATATAATTAGGTATTCTATAAGGTCTGTTTACTACTGGCAGAATACATATATATATATATATACAGCAATTGTGTTTTGTATTCCAACAAGTTCTTCGGTCATTGTTTGATGGGTTACAAAATGTGAGCTTTATTTTGTTTATACGTTCATTTTTTTCGTTTATAAATGATCGTCCAATAGTTTACATTAACAATATGCATATAATGAAAATATACAACAATAGTTCTAACAAATTTTAGAAATTTTATAGTAATAATGAATGTAAACTTGACCTAATGAAAACCAATAAAACGTAATACGTAATACGCGCATCGTATGAATAACCAACACTATTTTAAATATGCATACTCACTCAGCCAAATAACAAGTTCATATATATATCTTAAATGATAATCAGAATTATAGCCCACAACTATTTTCGATCAACCAACACGATTATAATACAAACATTTTCAAGTATATTTTATAAAAAAATATTTCCCCTTGACTCATAATTATATATTTGATACGAAACTCCAATTCTTGATTGGATCGTACATTTATACTAAAATTTGTTTTCATTTACAATTTTTTGTTTAATTTTTTCAACTTTAAATTTGTAGCTTAGCGCCATGGATTACGTGCCATATTTTGGTATCACTAGGGTTGGTTTTTTTTTTTTTTTGTAGGACGTGATTAAACAACCAATATATGCAACTAATATATTTGCTCTAACATATTACACGATTCTGTTTTTTTGCATTTTGCATTATGATTTGCTATAGTTCATGATAGACGATTACAGTGCATACGACATTGATAATATTATTATGCTTGTGTATTATATAAATAACACGTTCCGTGTTCGTCAAGCGTAATCAACATTACTAATTATCCTTGAGTACATGAGTATACACGACTCTTTAATTTAAGGACGTTAAAAAACTATAGGGTTTATTGAATTAAAAAAAAAAAAAAAAAAATGAATGAATGAAATACATTTCAGCTTTATACGGCACGCGTTTATATAGTCATACACTCCGCTTGTTCAACGAGCGCAATAAACGATAGTATAATATTACATCGGATACGATTTGAAATCATTTCCGACGGGCGATACAGTACATATATAATATTATACCGACGATAACGAGACCTAGACTTGTGTTTCAAATTCGACGGTTAATATTCCGTGATATCTTATAATGATAATAAGAGACGCCTTTATATTATTATAATATTATACACAGTTCGGTGTTTCCTCCAGTCGCAAATCATATAATACAACGCACGGTCTGACAAAGCGACGGTTACACACCCCGTGTGCGGAGCTGTGTAATAATTTTGTACGCCCAATAAACGAAAAAAGTTTTCAGTTTAAGTGATTTCGTTTCATTACGGGTCTTGGATATATTATTACGACGCGTACACTAACGAAATACCCAGCTCGAAATTAATGATTTGGAACATGCGAAAAAAAATAGGCCTACGAGCATCACATACGTATTACTATTATTATTGTACTGTAATATACACGTGCGGTATAAATGCGTACCAATGAAACACACACACACACACACACACACACACACACACACACACACACACA